AGAACAGTACATACATCATATATATATATATATATATATATATATGAGTGTGTGAGAGCTCCAGGGAGCTCGAAAGAAACAACAAAAATAAATCAGATCGGTGACGGAGAAGCACCGCCTTCGTCACTTTACGCTCTCCTTCAGCCTACACAAACACTGAAAGCTCCCAAACTACGCCGTAGTGCGCGCGCCGCTGTACACCTCCACGCTCGGGGGCTGTCGTGCTCGCGACCCCTTGGAGTGAGTGGTGCTACGGCTTTGGTCTGACTTTCTTCGAAATCCACGTTCCTTCTTGTTCTGCGCGACCGCCTTCAGCGCCTCCATGCTCTTCTTGTGCCGCTCCAGCGCATCATTCTCTGGGGATACCTTGTAGTTGGCTCTCAAGAGCCAGTTCTCCAGCACATCCTTCTTGCGTGCTTTGCTGTGGATGCTGTCTGAGCTGCTCCGCGTCAGCCCTTCGATCATTTCCTCCGTCAGCTCTTGATGATACTCCTCCACGCGTTTTTGGTGCGGAGGGACGCGCGGCTCCGACTTGACTGTGTCCACCTTCGACAGCGACTTGATCTCCGCGGCCTCGGGGTAGGCTTCGTCGGCCGGCGACGGCTTGGCCGGCTTATGCACCGATGATTTCCGCCGCTCGCGGGCAATAATGCCGCCCATGGCGCTGCTACTGTACAGAAACAAAAAGAGAAGGAATTACTAGTATCAAAGGAATGAAAGGCAACGCGGCAAACAATACTGCAGAATGCAATATAAATATATATACGTCGCGTGTGAGCGAGTTGCAGCACATACACACACGCCCTCACACACAGAAGGATAATACCTGTGGCGCTATTGCAGCTGCAGCTAACACAGGCAGAACTGGGTGACCGTGCGGACACTCGTGCCACAGACTACCGCAATAATTGTTCGAAAGCGTGCAACGATAAAAGTAGAGCGGTGAAAGAGGAGAGGCGCGAAAGGGAAGTCGGAATCCGACACGCAGAGACACGAAATGAAAGTGCATGACGAGTGCGGGGGAGAACAGCTGCACGCGATCTCAATGAATCATCTGCATGTATGAGATGCCTTATCGCTGCAGGTGCTCAAAGCGCACTTGGGCCTTCTCCTTTTTGTTTTCTACCAGAGACGGCAGAATACTTCGCTTCATGTTCGCCAACTCAGCCGATGCGAGGACGGCACAGACATTCAGTTTTCCTGGCAGCATTCATCGTATTTTCTCTTTTAGTAAAGGGCAGCGCTGTTCATCTGTTGAACCACTTCTCCCAGCCGTTTCAATTGAGAAACAACGTAAGAAAGAAAGGGAAAAAAACTCGCAAGAGAAAGCAGAGGGGTACGTGCAACCGCTTCAGTGTAACACGCACACACACACAGATAGAGGTAGAGGGAGAAACACCCCGAAGGGGAGAGACGGCAAGCAGGGTCCGCGGCGTGGTTCACTTGCCGTACTCAGGGCGGCCACAACAACAGCAACGATGTTTACTCCCAGAGAAAGTGACACGAAAGGGGAAGAGAGAACGCTGTAGAACCTCGCCCCTTTCCCTTTACTTTTACTACCGCCCTTCCTGTCGCAGCTCGCCCATAACAAGACGATAACCTCTCGCTTCCCACGAGGAGTGCAACAGAGCAGTAAGTACGGAAATAAGCAATAAGTCCCGTAAATAAAAAATTGAAGAAGACTGCAAAAGAAGAACTAAGGAGCCGCGAAATGCTTCATAAGCGCCTCATCGTTGCCGCGGCAGATGATGTGTATAAATGGAGTTTATGTTTGATTTCATGCGAGCTCAACGAAGAATTACTTGCCCCGTTGCCGCTAGATGAGAGATCATTCATCAGCACCACCACACCACCACACACGCACATGTACATATGCGCACCCCCTACGAACGTAAGCGAAAAAAAGAAATGCAATTAGGAGAACGAAGAGGCTTGTCACAGAAGAAATGAAGGCGCCGCGAGCCAGCGACTGCACACGACTTCATGCAAAGAAAGAAAAATACACCGGAGAAACAGAAAGGAAGCAGATTGAAAAGAGAGGTGTGTGTGTCTCATTAAAACGCAGCACCGCAATAACACCCCGCGAAATTGCTGTACGCAGCTGCGGTGTCCTCTTCACTGACATCGAGCCTTCGCCTGCGCTTTGCGCTGCTTCTCCTTCGCTCTCTTCGCTTCTAGCTGCTCTGACGCGCTACGAATACCGAGGGCGGACACGTAATGTGGGGCGTCCCACCGTTCCGCCGCAGGGTCTATCGGATCGCCCTCCGTGCGGATCCAATCCCTCTCCTCCCGCTCCCCGTCGGACCACACATCCGGCTCCGGCACCGGTGTCAGCCTTTCCGGTGGAGGCACACTCTTCAACCACCTCGTAACTTTGTTGGTGGGCACGAACCCCGAGAGGCTGTGGCGGCCCGAGCACCCCGTCTCGTACGAGCCCTTGTCCTCGTCGCCGTCCTCGTCGGTAGTAAGGCTGCCTTCGCACTTGCGTCGCGACTGCCTATTGCTGCCGGAGGTGAAGGAGGAGACGACAGGGGAGGGCACGGCGCTGCCAACGGGCTGAAACTCCCGTTGTGCGACAGGGGACTGCTGCTTCGGGTTCTCCTTCACCTCAGAAGAGCATTCTGCGCCCATTTGACTCTCGCAGCAGAGAAGAAAGCTAACAGCAACAATAATAATAATAGATTAGGTCGAGTTGCGGCGTCTCCCCAGGTCTACTTCTACGCAAAGGGAGTCCGGCGCAGCGGCAGTGACGGCAGAGAGAGGAAGAGAGTCTGCGGCACCTCTGAATTACGACAGTGTGCGGCACAGAGAAGGAATGAACCTCGCCATGCACGGCAAGATACCAAAAACCGTATTAAACCGATCCGCTGTTTTGGCGCCCTCTTTTCTGCTGAATCACCTTTTCCTTCGCGGCGTTGGATCGCAGGCATTCCATTGGCGGCCGCCGCGCGACAGCAATTGCACGACGTACGTGTACGGGAGGATGAGCAGATAGAGAGAGGAAGAGGGGAGCCCAGTTGAGAAGAGGGAGTATGAAATGCGTCTCCAGACACGACCCGCAGAGCAGAAGAGCAGAGGGACGCGCCACGTTCGCTTCGTTTGATGCGTAACGGAGAGCAACCACAACGATTGGCTTTTCTCCATCATTATTTGCCACTTTTGTTGGGGGAACAAAGACCACAGTCCGAAGGAGACGCTCATCCGTGCTGTTGGTCCCCCCCCATCCCCAGCAGCCCCTGACGAAACACAGAAGAGCGTAAAACCTCTCCCCGCCGTTCGTGCTTTTGCATAGTTGAAAAACTGTAAACACAACAACACGGTGAGCCGCAACGGCACCCGGCACACACCGCAAGCATACCAACGTCACGCTTCTCAGCTACACCGTAAAGCATTCCTCCATTTTCCCTTCCATCGATCGCGGTAAAGAGCGAGGCTCCTCTGCATGTCGCCGCACGGCAGGGAGAAGTGGAGAAAGAGAAGTACCGTGCCGCTTGACGTAATTACTTGCCAATTCGCAACCGCCTGTAGGCCTCCTCCTGCTGCCGTTCTAACTCGCGCTGACGATCGCCGAAGATGTCGAAGTCTGGCGGTGGTCGAGGCGTGGCGAAGTCCTCCTGGTGGTCATCGCCCGAGACACACACGCCCGGCTGCCGCATCTCCGGCGTGCAGTCCTCGCGCCGTGTGAAGCCCCACAGGTACATGCAGATATTCCGCGTCATCCACCGCTTGCGGCTCGCCTCGTCAAACAAGTCGTAGCGCGGTCCCACCATCGAGCAGCCAGCCACCCACGGCATTATCTTCGCTTGAACAAACAGGAGAAGGCGGTCCCACAGCGCTGGGCAGAGACGTAGCAGCGGCGGCACCGCGTCCGTGTTGGCGGCGATCCACAACTGTACCAGGTTGTCGGAGTAGAGCTGACACACCGCCACCTTCTTATCGCGCTTGCGGGCGTGGTAGAGAGCGCCGGGGTGGAAGGAGATGAGGGTGGTTTGGTCGTACATGTAGTCGGGGTAGCGACGGTAGAGGTCGAGCACCTTGTCCGTGCACAGGTACGCCCGTTTTAGATCCTTCATTTCAATCAGCAGGCGCAGGTTGTTGTCGCGACAGAAGAGGATCGTCTCCTCCAGCGTCGGCACGCGTATCGCCTGCGTGGGGTCTGCCGTGTAGGTGCACTCGCGAAGCTCGAACAGCGTCAGCTCGTCGATGCGGCGGTCGAACGGCACCTCCCGCAGCAGGCCGTGGGCAGCGGTGTCGTGGAAGATGACCACCTCGTTGTCCTTGGTGAGGCGGGCGTCGCATTCAATCCCACCGCAGCCCCGCTCCGCCGCGTACTTGAAGGCGGCCAGCGTGTTTTCAGGCGTGCCGTCGACGTTGCGGCAGCCGCGGTGGCCGAAGACGACGCCGCCCCACAACAACCGCGACGGCCCCATCGGAAGTTGGATGTGCCGGACGTACGACCAGCCGAGGGCAGCCCCGATGCTTCCTATCAAAAATGCAGACTTCATATCCGTGTGTTTGCGCGTGGTTTTTGGACAAATAAAACCCTCTATTGAAAGCAACTGCGCACGGCAAACCAAGCAAAAGAAAAGAGGAAGGGGAGAAGGCAAAGCAGAACCGCCGAGCGGCCACGGGTGTTCTGCCTCCACAGTCAACCTGGTGGGAGCGGAACGAACGGCAAGCTTGCCACGTCGCTGCCGCGGTGTATCGTATCGATGCTGTGATTTCCTGCAGTGATGGAACAGACATCATGACAGGGCATTCGAAACCGTTTTTAAAAACATAAAAGAGTAAGTGGGAAGAGGAGAAAAGAACGCGGAGGACGTGAAGGTTTAGGAGGGCAGGCAGCAGCGGCAGCGGCATCGGCATCGGCCGGACTGCGACAGACAAAAAGAAAGCAAAGGTTCACCGTAAGACATCAACTTCAAAAAAATACGACCCACTCGCCGGGACACCGCACGCATCCGTGAAACAAAGGTGAGCGTGGGGTTCGCTGCTTGAGGCGGTTCACAGTTCAACATTTGCGCAAAGGTGAAAGCAACAATACAAACGTGTTGAAGAAGTGCAGGACGCGCGTATGAGCGTGCGCATACACTCCCTCTCAGCAGTAAAAGAAAAATACCGAACACAGGCTGCGGTTGATGAGTGAATGAGCGAACAGCACAAAGAAGACGTCAGTTAACAGCCGTCAGCAGCCGCAGCAACGAGTAACCCCAACGGAGCAAAGGAGGAATGGCGTCAGCAGCGATATATATACGTTGGAATCATCACAATCTACTCACGTATCTCCCTAGAGGAGGAGAGAGCCGTGAAGGTGAAGCTAAAAAACAAAGTGGAGAGATCTATTTCGCGGTGGGTCTCGGCCTCGATACAGTAACACACAAATATATAGCGATTCAACCTGCACAGCAAAACGGAGCATTCCGCAGGTCCCTTGCTCTCTCACATGGCGAAGTGGTCAGTTGGGAGCACATCTTGGTGCCGCAGCTCCCTTCCAAGCAGATCCTCCAATTGCAGCTTAAAAGGCTTGTCCGCGGCCCCGAGCCAGTTGACCACGTCGACGGCGTAGTATAGGGTGTGGTTCATGCGCACCCATTGCATGCACTGCGCCTTGTCGCCTGCAAAGAAACCCGCCTTCACAAGACGCAGCACGTAGTCGGGTAAGACGACAGACGACCTCCCCAAAGCGGCGGCCACCTGCTGCTGGAAAGCCTGCACATCCACCTGCAGCTGCATCACGAACATGTCGTTCATGCGCTTCTTGGACAGTTTGCTGTACTCCCGCGCCAGCGTCGCCTGCACCGCGAAGACAAGACGCTGCAGAAAGACGGACTCCAGGGCCGGGGTGGGCATCGGCACTCGCCGCGCATTCATCGCCCCAAGATCACGCACGAGCGACGCGACGTACGGGTTCACCACCACCTCGTCCTTGCCGGACTTCAGCTTCGCAATCTCGCTGCATGTGCTCTCCATTGGGTAGATGGCCTGGCACAGCCGGTGGATGCACACGTGCAGCACCTCGTGTGCGGTGTTGTACAGGGCGCGGCACCGCTGCATGTAGGACTGCACAGTGGCGGCCGGCAGCAGCGGGCTCATCGTCTCGACCATCGCCTCGTACAAGAATACCAACGTGAGCACCGACTGGCAGGCCACGGAACGGCTGCCCACTGCGAACTGCGCGGCGGGGCTCGTGAACTCGTTGCGTAGGCGTCCCCACACGTGTGGAGGGAAGCGAACGGTGGCGGCACCCGCGCTGTCACGGCCTGCCACGGCGCTCATGCGGCCCCGACTGTCGCGCGGGATGTACTGCCCGTTGGACGCGTTCACGGCGCGCTCGGCAGCGGTGCGCACCTCGGCCAGCATGTGCTGTGCGGTGGGTGAGAAGTCGCCCTGGTGCTCAATCGCCACGGAGCGCGACACCGACACGAAGCTGTCCAGCACGGTGTAGAAGTACAGGCAGAGCAGGTCCTCGCTCCAGCTGAGAATGTCCGAGGCGAGGGGCGGGAAGCGGACGGCGAGGCGAGCCTGGTACTCCAAGAAGGCGTTCGCCACGGCAATCGCGCTGGAGGTCATCACGGTGGGCGGCATGTCCACCGATGCGGCCAGCGACGTCACAACGAGCGGTGCAGAGCTGCTCACCGTGGGCGACTCTGTGCCCGGGACGACGTTTCCCACCGGCGAGCCGCACTCCGCCGCATCGGCAGCGACGGTCACGCGGCCGGTCTTCGCACTCGTCCAATAGGCCGCGAAGGTCTGCGTCTGCACGAGGCTCGACGTGTCGGTCGGCTCCAGCATTTTCTGCGCGAGGAATGGGTTTTCCATAAACGGCATCGCCCCCGCCGCGAGTGACCCCTCGTCGGAGCTCTGATGCAAGTAGTGCTTCACCTCCTTGATGGAGTTCCTGAAGGCCTCAGGAGAGAGGGGCTTCACCATGTTCAGCGAGGGCGGGGTGACGGCGCTTACGGCCCAGTCGTCGTCGGACATGAAGGCCAAAACCTCGTTCGCCTTCAGTGACTGGAAGTTCGACTGCAGGTGCCGCAGCAGCACGGCTTTCGTCTGCGTGCGAGCGGCGGCCTGCTCCGACTTGTCGAGGCCCAGCGAGGCGACCGCCTCCGTCAGCATGCCGGCCACAACGAAGAGATGCAACACCCGGTCCGGGTCCAGCGAGGCGAGACGGGCGTTGGAGAGCACGACGGTCAACTTCTCAACAAGATCGCGGCCGATCTTGTGCCCCACGTCCTGCACGCGCTGCAGCGCCTGGCTGTGCAGCGTCGCGTACGGAGAGCCGGTGTAGCGCTCCTCCTCGTGCAGCCGGACCACTGTGGAAAAGAGGTACAAGAAGTCCATGAGCTTGGCGGCCATCTGGCGCACACCAACGATGAGGTGATCAGGATGGATGCCCTCCGCGATGTCAGCGAGCGGGGCATCCTCCTTTTTGACGAACGACACGTCCGTCAGCGACCTGCACAAGATCTGAATCGCGGCCCTCCACAGCAGCGTCGCGACCAGCGCGCACGTCTCGGATGCCTTGCCGAGCTCCTGGGCAGCCTCCAGCGCGTTGCGATACGTAGAGACGATGAACTTGTTCGTGAGGCAGTCGGTGAGCACCACCTCAATACAGTCCGTCAGCTTCCCGGGGTTGTCGCGGTAGAGCCGCCACTCCGCCAGCACCGGCTTCATGCAGTAAATGCCAGCCAAGGAGCTCTCCATTTCGATGGCGCCCTCGCGCTTCAAAAATACCTCCGCCTCGTGCACCTTGCCGCTGGAAATTAGGTTCATCAACTGGGTGCGCTTCGCGCACATCGATTTCGTTGCCTCCAGCAGCGCAATGGTGACCTCGATGTTTTCCTTGGTGCGCTGCTGCGACAGCAACGATATCTGCGACGCCACTGCCGCCTTCGACTTGCGGATGGCCGCCCGAGCCTTTTTGCAGTCGCTCGAGGTGATGAGGAGGCTGTCGTTGATGTTGCGAATCTTCTCGGTGCCGCTCACAAAGGAGTGGTGGTGGGCCAGCACGCGCCGCTTGAGGGTGGTGCTGACGATGCTGCACTTCTGTCGCAGCTCGAGCAGTTTGCTCTCCGCCGCCTCGCGCATCGCCCGGCTCTCCGCCTCGTCGTCCGTGTAGGCGAAGCCGTCCATGTGCTCCAGCTCAAACTTGACCGGGTCGTACGTCTTGTCGAAGAACTTCTTGTCCACCTTCTCCTGCACCTGCGCGTCTGTCAGCGGTTCCTCGTCGGAGCTCTCGACGTCGCTGGCCTCGGCGGCCGCTACGCGCTCGCCCTCCGCGTTGCGCACCTCGGCGCCGTACTTCATCTGGAAGAAACGTCGAATGTCTCCTTGTGACATGGCACCGCCGCTGCCCGAGATAGCCTTGAGCCGGTCCATCGGAATGCTCTTGAGAGCCGCCTTTGTCTTCCTGTAGCCCGTCTTCACCCCCTTCATCGCCTCCTTCCACGCCGAGGCCAGACTGTCCGTGACGTCATCCATTTTTCCTTCTCTTGTATAACAACGGTGGTGGTGACGGTGGTGGATGTTGTAGGGGATGCGCTGCCACCTTAGTTAACGCCGTTATACGGTAAAGTCAGCAGATAACGAGGGAGGCGGGGGGGGGGGGGTAGGAGGTACGCACGGCGCTAAATGTACTGGACCGCCGTGGACAGCTTGTATTTGTAGTGAATATATTGCCGAAGTCGTGTGTGCGTGCGGGCTAGATGGCAGACACCGGCTCCAGTTACGTGCGGCGATAGAGAACTTCAATTTATTGCTACTTTTCAGTATTGTTCTTTCAAAAGAAAGGGGAAACGCGTCTGTACTGTGATATCCGCACCACAACCCTCGCGCCCTTCTCAAGAGTAACACCTTTCGTTGAGAGGGAAAGAGCAGAGGTGAAGAGAGGACAGGGATGAGGAAAAGACTGTCCGTGTGTTCGCAGCACAGAAACTTCGCCCACGTGAGCAGGCGCACCTGTATTGCGAACTGAACAAAACAAATGAAAAGGAGAGCAGCCGTTGAGGAGGCAGCGCAGAGGAGGCAGAGGCACGGCACTGTTGATTTACGCTTGTGTGCCAGGCATGCCAAAAATAGAGGGACCTCAAAAAGCACTCTTTGCGAAGGGAGTGCTCCACCATTTCCTCGTGTTCGTTCTACTCATGATTCGGTGGGGTTGCTTACTTGTTGTTGTAATACTGCAGTATCTATTCTCTACGATTCTTTCTCTATGGCGCAATGGAAAGAACAAAGAATGAAAAAAAAGGTGCGCCGTGAAAACGCCGAACTTCAGGAAAGGGAGGGGGGACTCGAAGCGTCCGTGAATGAAGCCCCCCTATAAAAAAGGGTAGAGGGGAAAGCAAGTCGTGCTACGGGGAGTACCGTGAGCGCATTTGCGCGTCTTGTTGACGGAGGCGTTTGCCGATCTCCAGCTGCTCTTGTTGCTTATCAAAGCACAGTTGCATGAGCTGCTGGGCGTTGCGCAGCTCTTCGATCTTGTCCAGCAAGTCGCGTTCGCGGGACTGCGTCTCGGTCAGGGTGGCGTCGCTGATGTTCTTCAACGACTCCAAATTCGCGCACCGCTCACGCAGGGCTGAAATCTCAGACTTGCGTGCTTGCAGCTGACCCTGCAGGGCCTGCACCTCCTTTGCCAACTCTTTTGCTCGCTGCTCCTGGCTGGAAAGGTCAGCCTGCAAACGTCGCTTCTCGGCGGCAGCGGTGGCCAGCTCCGCCTGCGCCGCCTCCAGTCGTGCATCGCGGGTGCGCTGCGTTGCTTGCAGTTCATTCAGCACGCGCTGATGGCTCGCCCGCGCTGACTCCAGCTGGCCGCCGATAAAGCCGATCTGCTGCTGCAGCTCCTCGCACTGCTTCGTTGCCGCATCACGAGCAGCGATAGCGACCGCCGTCTTCTCCACGTCCCGCTGCACGCGGCCCAGTTCCTGCGTGTACGCGCGCTCCTTCTCGGCCAGCACGCGCTGCAGCGCGGCCACCTCCGCCCGTTGCTCTCGCAGCTCGTCCTCGTAGTGCTGCTGCTCCACCGCACGGTCCTCCAACTGCCGCTTCAGTTTGTCGTGACTCTGCTGCAGCACCCGACGCTCCTCCTGCGCTGCACGCGCCGCGTCGCTCCGTTTCATCTCGTCCGCGGCTACTCGGTCGCGGAAGGCAGCGGTTTGCTCCTTCTCCACGTCGAGCAACGCGCGGAGACGTCCGACCGAGTCTTCGAGTGCGCGGCAGCGTTGGTCGCGGTCGCCTTCGGTGCGCTTCGACGCATCCGTCTGGGCAGCCGCGCGGCGCTCCGCCTCGGCCACGCTTCGTTGCAGACGGGCGACTTCTTCGTGGTGCTCCGCGGCTGCCGCCTCGCGCCGTCGTGCGTGCGCCTCCTCCACGGCCTGAAGCTCGGCCTTGTGCTTCGCCTCCATCCGCGCCAGCTGTCGTTCGAGCTCTGCAGCAAGCAAACGGCTCGACTCAACGCTGCGCTGCGCCGCGGACCAGCCGTCTTTCACACAGCCCGCCGCGTGCGCGAGCAAGGCGCGGTGAGCGCGCAGCACGGCGTCCATGTGGACTCGCTTCAAGTCTGCTGCCTCCTCCGCGTACTCATCTGCCGCCATCATCTGCCGAGCGGCGAGGTGCCGCTGCAGCTCCCGCAGACTGCCCTCGGCTGACGTCGCACGTCGCTGAGCCTCCAGCAGTTGTGCCTGCAGTGCCACCGTCTGCTTCTCGGCTGCCTGGGCGTCGCTGGAGGCCTCGCGGAACGACTCCTCCTGCTGCCGACACAGCTCGTCGTAGTGTTGCTTGGTTTCGCTTATCCGCGACTCCATGCTGTCCTGCACCCGCCGCAGCGCCGTCTCCGCTTCCTTGAGACGCTCTATCAGACTCGCCTCGCGTTGCTGGCCCTCCTTCTCGCCTTTGGCAGACTCGCGCACTTTGTTCTCCATGCGCTGCAGCAGCGCTGCCATCTTGGCCTTTTCCTTCTTGTACTTCTCGCGCAGGGCGTTGGCGGCTGTACTCTGCGCCTCCGCCTCCTGCAGGGTGGTGGCCGTGGCTTCCTTCACTTCTTCGACTTGACGCAGAGCTTTTTGGATCTCCTCCTTGCGCTGCTGATACTTGCGCTCTCGCCCCTCAAGCGTCGCCTTCAGGGAGTCAATCTGTGCGGTGGCGTCGCTGATCTGCTGCTCGAGATGCGCCTTCTCCGCGCGCAGCACGACAGCGTCGGCTTCACGCGCGGCCTGCTCGGCCTCCAACGCACGCATGCGCTCCTCCGCTGCCTCGGCGTCCCTGCGGTTGGCTTCTTGTTGATGCTGAAGCTTCTCCTGCAACACAAGGGCCTTACTCCTTTCCTCGTTTAGGTGCGGCAACACGGTGGCCTGCTCGGCGCGGAGTTGGCGGATGGTGTCGTCGCGGGCCTCGAGTCCGCGGCGGAGATCGTCGGAGGTGCGCTTCGCAAGCGTCTCCACCTCCTCGGCATGCTTCGCAAGACGAGCGCATTCGGTGTTCCGCTGTTCCATCTCGTCCTGCGCACGCCGCGTCTCTGCCTTGCACTCGTCCAGCGCACGTTGCAGCCCCTTCTGCTCCTGCGTCGCATCCCGTAGCGCCGACCCGCACGTTGCAAGACGCTCCTCCGCACCCGCAAGCTTCAGCGCCAGCTGCTCCCGCTGCGCCTTCTGCTCCATCACCTCCTTCAGCGCAGCCTGTCGTGCCTCTAGGACTTCCTCGGTTTCTCGGCGGAGGCTCGCTATGACGGCGTCCTTCTTAACCCGTTGCTCGTCCAGCGCCGCGACCGAAGCTGCGGTGGACTCCGCCGCCTTCTTCAGCGCCGCGACGGTGTCCTGTGCTCGCTCAGCGGCTGCCTTCCAGTCCAACTGGACACGCTCCGCCTCCTGCACTCGCTGTCGCACGGCGTCCTCCGCCGTCTCCCGGGCCGCGAGGCGCTGCGTGAGTTGCGTCACCTCAGCGTGTTGCTTCTCCAGCTCCTTTCTAGCGGTTTGGAGGGCAGCCTCTTTGGTGTCTAGTGCGTTCTGCAGGCGATCCATTTCCCTCCGCGTCTCCCGCCGTGCCTCGTCGAGGTGCTGCAGCTCCTTTTCTAAACCTTTTGCGCCGCCCGTCTTCTCGCCGAGCTCACCACGGAAACGTTCGATGCGCCCGTTCAGGTCGCGCACCTCCGCCTCGTGACGCCGCCGCGCTTCCTCCGCGGCGGAGGCGAGGTCGTGCTTTATCTTCTGCACTTCGCCGCTGTGCACCAACTCGAGGCGCCGCGTCTCCTCTTCCTTGTCGCGCAGCTGTGACTGCAGGCGATGGACGGCCAGCTGGAGCTCCTCCAGCTTTTGGCTGAGCGCTCGGTCGTCGGCGGCTTTGCGGCGCTGCGCATCCAGCAGCTCCGACTGCGTCTTTTTCAGGTCGCCTTGGAGGCGGTCGCAGTCGCTCGTTTTGGCTGAGATGGCCGCCGTGAGTGTCGCCGCCTTTTCGCGCGACTCCGCCTCTACCCGCGCGAGTTGCTCACGCAGTCGAAGTGCAGCATCAGCGCCGTCACCGACCGCCCGCTCCTTCGCCTCAAGCCGTCGCCGTGTCGCGTCCGCCTCCTCCTGTGCCTGCCGCAGCTGCTCCTGTGCTCCGCGTAGCTGCGCCTGACCCGCCTCGAGTGCCCTCTCGGCGCCCGCCTTGTAACGCTCGTGCAGCAACTGCGCAGCTTGCAGCTCGTCGGACGTGCGCTGCGTTGCGTCGTGTGCCCGCGTCAATGCTCGCTCCAACTCACCGACGCGCTCCGCGAGTTCCTTCTGAGCCGCTTTGCGGCGTGAAGCGTCCTCTCGCAGCTCCTTCTCTGTCTGCTGTGCCGCCGTCGCTGTCGACGAGAGTTCCTGGCGCGTTTTGTGGAGTGTCGTGAGCGTCGCTTGAAGGGTGTCCGCCAACTCCGCTGCTTTGCTCTGTGCGGCGCAAAGGGACTTCTGCGACTGCAGAAACTCCTCCTCTCTCCTTTGCAGTTGCTGTCGTAGTTGGTCCAGCTCACGCGTGTACTGCGCCCGGGCAGCAGCCGCAGCGTTCTCGAGTGACTGCACAGCTTCTGCGTGCTCGCTGCGAGGCACCATGCCGCGCACCTGAGTCTGAAGTTGCTCGACGTGCGCTTGGCGCTCCTCTGAAACCTGTGCGAGTGTTTGACACCGTTCTCGCAGAGCTGTCGTAGTGTCCTTCTCCGTGTTGAGCAGCTTCTGTGTGTTGGCCAGCGCCGCACCGTCCTTGTCCGCCTGTGCCTCTAAAGCAGTCACGGCGGAGCGCAGCGCAGCGGAGCTATTCTCGAGTGCCACGATTTTGTCCGACATCTGTGCTGCGCTCTCTGTGAGCTCTCGCACCTTTTCCTCGCTGCTCTGCAGCTGCATCTTCGACGTCTCTGCGTGCTGAACAAGCTTGCTGTTGCGCTCCTCTTCATGAGCGCACTGCTGCTGCAACTCCTTCACCTTCGCCTCTTTGCGGCTTAGCTGCTGTGTGACCTCCTTCAACCGTGCCTTGTGGACATCGTCGCTTTGCCGCGAAGAGGTTTGTTGGTCCTCGAGTTGGCGCAGCATGCGGTGCAGCTGGTCATCCTTGTCGTTGATGACACGCAGGTACTCCTCCAAGAGCTGGTCCATCGCGGCGCCTCGGGGGGCTTCGCCTTTGAATCCGTCTTCACATACCATGGTGCTGCGATGGTCGCACCAACACTAGGCCGGAACGTCTACAGTTATCCGCGCTACGACTGCACCTCCTGCCTTCTTTAACCTCTCTACACCTTCTTGGTGTGTGTGTGTATGTGTGTCAAGGGAAAGACAGCAGTCCTCTTCCTGCGATAGATGAGGTGTTCGTTCAGATCTGCTTTGCGCTGTTGATGCTCAAAAAGTCGCACATGTGAGCGCGTTGTCGCCGCAGCAGTTGTGGGGGGGGGGGGTCGATGAAGTAGTGCCGCATGATTGAAAACGCAAGAGAGAGAGATCGAAGGCGAGGGAAAAGAAGTGAAAGAGATTTGGATAGCGCTGGCAGCTGGAAGGGAAAGAAAAGTCGTTGGCAACGCAACGGTGAGCGAAACAACAACGCTGTAGGAAAGGGCCACTCATCCCACACAGTTTCTCTGCGAGAGTGGTATCAGTTTCCACGTTTTTTCACTTCAACTGAAGCTGCTTTCATCCCTGTCTAGAAATAGTTAAAAGACCGCTCTATCTCTTTCATTATTCATTGCGCAGCTTCGGTGGACAGGAGCCGTTTTTCTCTTGTTGTTGTTGTTGAGAGACGATGAAAGCGGAACTCGTCTCGGCGGATGAGCGGCACACGTCAACGTGCTTGTTAACCACGCACTCCTGCACAACAACCCAAACAGCTTCCAAAAGAAGGCACGTGCAGGAAAAAGGGGGAGGTAGCGGCTACTGCAACGACGGCGGCGGTGTCGTCTTCCGTAGAACGCCACGAAAAACAACACGAGAACGCCGATAACGGCTTTTCATGTGTGGACTCTCGCTTTCCGTCTTAACAGAACTGTGCCGAGCATTAATGGACATCGGTGAGCATGTGCACCACGCGATGGGGGAGTATGTTCTTCAGCTCCTCGCGGGGGTGCGCTGACTTCACCACCAACGTGCCGCGAGCCTGAGGCGGCACCACCGGCCTACCGCCCAAAGCGTTGTTCTCGAGTAATTCCTTCAGCGCGTTCGCCACCTTTTGGATTGCCTCCGGTGACGTCACCCACACCACGCAACGACTTTTTTGACTTCCAAACGATTTCTGCGTCTCCGCCCGCAGCTGATCCACGGAGGCGAAGGGCCCGTGCAGCGGGGCGACCAACACGCCGCGACAATTCAACGCAAAATCTAACCTGTCAGCGTCTCCGCGGCGCTGGTGCCAGTGCACGCCGCTGACTCCGCTGCGTCGACTTAGCAGGGCTTTGGCGAGCGGGTTCGACACGGACGCCGCTGTCGCACAGGCGCACGGGTGGTGCGGATGAGTGGCGCCACCACCGCTGCAGAACCACAAAACTAGAACCGTGACAGAAATGAGGAGAAACACAGCACCCATCCTACGCCCCGAGGATGCAGGTGCCGGTGGCGACGCAGTCGCCTTCTGCGCGTTGAGGTGCTCAGACGACGGCGGAAGGGACTGCAGCGCCGGAGACGGCGACGGCGGTGTGTCGGGCGGCGACGGCGGCGAGGCCAATTCCGCTTCACTGGCTGGCGCCTTCTTCCCCCTCGCCTTCACGGGCGTCCGGCGAGTTCCTTTCGGCGTCTTGGCGGTTCGCTTTTTCATACTTGCGGCGATCTCAGAGCTGTGTGTGACGCTGGAGTTCCGCAGATCCACAACGGAGCATCAGAAGAAATACCTTCCTTTGGCTAAGATAGTAAAGTGACAGACAAGATCGTTAGAAGGCCTGATAAAGAGACCAGGCAACAGGACACACTCCGCAGTCTACGACCGTCCAAGGTCAAGAGGTGCACTTCACGCAGAAACGGGGGACTTACGCCACCACCACTGCGGAGGAAACTACACGCAGGTAGCGCTCGGAAGAGCAGAACACCTGTACGTTGAGTTGCCACATCCCCAGCGTAAACGGCGCCGATATTGCCTTCAAATTTCTTTTCCTTAAACGTTAAATCTAAGATTTACTTACGCAGCTGTGCCGCCTGTACTATACAGAGAAAACCTGACGGCCTTATGTGAAGATAGCACTCATCTCGCCATGGACGCCAAGTGCGTTCACGGTTTCTTTTCATTGCTTGCGTGGGCATGACTGTGTGGAGAGGCATCCAACGAAAGCGGAGAGTTACTATCGACCAGCTCCAGCACCGGCTCCGACGCACGCGCAATCAGCGGATGGCGATCACCCAGTTCTCGCATAGCGACGGCGGCCCTCTGTGAAGGGGCCCATTGCTCCGTGTGCATGCTGCGCACCAGCTCCAACGCGTAAACGTCGTCGTCCTCGACGTTGCACGCCTCGAGGAGGTGCGTGTACGTGTAAGGCAGAAACGGCGCCTGCTCCTGCTGCTGCTGCTTGCCCGCCTCAATGGCGCCTTTAGTGTCACCGCACTCCTGCCGGGCCCGAATACGCGCGAGGTGGCACACGCTATCCAGTTGCATCGACTTGTGGAAGGTGTTGAAGATGTCCTCCACAGCGACATAGTGTTTGCCTTCGACGCACGCAGCCAAGGCGCAGCCCACGCCGATCACATCAGGCCGGATGTGCTCTCGTGTCATCTGCTGCAACGCCTGCAGCGACTGCGCCCACGCACCGGGCTGCACACACTGCCGTAAAATGGCCGTGAAGTGTGTCGAGTTCATTGCCACCCCCTCCTGTCTGGCGGTGTGCCACAGCTCCACCGCACGGAACCAGTTGTTCGCATTGGGATTGAGCAACTCCTGCTGCAACGCGTACACGTGGCCGAACTGATGCATCCACCCTCCGCCGTAGCGAGGGAAGATGCCCTGCCCTGACGTCCGCGGGTGCATGAGGCTAATTGCCTACACAATACAGCGGCGATGAAAGCGTTAACGCAAACGCCGACAGAGAGCACAGCTTATGAAATAGCGCAGGTTCGCAGATTCCGAACCATCTCCCTGCGGCTAGGCAAACTTTCTTTCTTTGGTGGAATGGCAGACGGTAAGTGGACTGTGTCAAGACCGTGGGCTTTGATTTGCAGATGCCCCGTTGGGCGCCAACCTGCGTTAGTAGAAATGCGCTGTGGAAGAAGAGGAGAGAAAAGGAGGAGTGGGTCACCTTTTTCGCGGCAAAGCACTCAAAAGGATTGTCGTGCCACCCGTCGCACGGACCTGCGCACAGCTGCAGGCCATCAACTCCACAACGGAGAAGTTTAGCGACGGGTATAAACATTAGAAACGCCTTGGGAAGGGGAAAAAAGCTGCGCGGCGCTGTAAATCGACGAGGAGCAGCTCAGGTATTGGTTCGTTTCCTTCTGACTTTTTGGAGGGATGTAAAAGAACGAATTTAGATCAAATACGTAAAGTACGCTCATGGAGATGGGACAAACTCGCGACCGGGAACGAGCACAGCTGATTGAGCCGCAACCTTCCTTCTTCTGATTCACTCGTTGTGGATTCAGCAGGCGTGCCGCGAAGCCCACGGTCAAACTTGACGTTCATAGGTTCTGAACACCAGGCGTTTACTTGCTGCGCTGGCGCATGCGCCGGCGGCGCAGCTTTAAGCGCTTTATGCGCTTCTTGTGCCACTTTGGGCGCATACCGCGCGGACGGCTGACGGTACCCATTTCCTTCGGTAGTTCATACAACGAAAAGATGGAGGCAGCAACACGGGACGCGGTATGGGAAATTGCGAAGAGAGGTGCCAGCGGTGGGGTCGGCAAGTAAAGGGAGGAGGCCAAGCGTGCAGCGAAGCAAAGCCGCGGAAGAGAGACGGAGAGAAGGAGAGCGAGAATGGACAGGAGAGAATTAAAAAAGAAGAGGAAATAACCGCACCGCAGAAGTAAAAACTGCCCTTGAGGAAGAAAACTGAAGTTCATTTAACGCTCAATACTCCAACAGTGGAGGACGCCGCAATCTACGCGTCCATGGCCGCGAGCTGCACTGGAAACGGGCTTCGTTCCAGGACACACAAAAAGCCAAGTGCCGATGATCACAACTTGTTTCTCTCTTTTTTTTTGGTGAATGAGAAAGTCAGAAAAGAAAAGGAATACTCATCAGGGAGAACTAAACTGTGGGGACAGCGACGCGGATACATCCGAGCGATTTGAGGCGCCGCACCGGTGTCGTGTCTTCTACGCTCAGAGCAGCGCACAAGCACTGCAGGCATCTGGGCCGTCCCACATTCTCAGCTGACACGCACTCTACTTGCTGCGCTGGCGCATGCGACGGCGGCGCAGCTTTAAGCGCTTTATGCGCTTCTTGTGCCACTTTGGGCGCATGCCCCGCGGGCGGCTGACGGTACCCATGATGAGTCTATCGTAGGTGAAGGGATCGAATTGTGTTCGCATTGAAAGAAAGAAGAGGGATTGAAGTGAGAGGGCCAGAACAGTTGTACGACGGCGGAATAAAGATGTTTCCAGTGCCAACAGCAGTCTTTGCTGCACAGCTGCGTGTAAGAGCCGAAAAGGGCATCCCATGCACGAAGGCAGGTGCGATACACCTTCCCACCACGAATAAAACACGTCACCATCACTTCGACGCAACGCCCCTCGAATCGGTGGTGAGTTCACCACAACGTCACCGCCGACGAGGAGGGGCAAACACAGCTTCGAGCCAATTCTTTAATTTTTTTTTTTAGTTATCGGAAATGAAACACAAAAGTAAAGTGGAGAAAAGAACCCATCGACCTTCTTCAATAGCAGCGCAGTGACACGTGACGACTATCGCTCATTCAAGTGCACTCCGAGGCGCCTTCAATGCTGCAGCAACGCGACTGCACGCACTCTACTTGCTGCGCTGGCGCATGCGACGGCGGCGCAGCTTTAAGCGCTTTATGCGCTTCTTGTGCCACTTGGGGCGCATGCCCCGCGGACGGCTGACGGTACCCATTTTCTTCACAGGAATGAGTCGTTATGGTGATATTGTAATGTGCGTGCGTGCGTGTGTGTAGTGGAAAGAGTAGTTTATTGAACCGGTGAAAGGCAAGGCGGAAGAGGGAAAAGGGGCGAAGCGGTGTTAATAAAGCACGGCTGAGATCAAATACACCTTCGAAGAAACACACATTTTGTTTTCTATTCGCCCAACATCCTTGAATGCGACTTGTCACTCGAAGCACGCCAATCGCTGTGGAAGAGGGAGAAAGCGAAGTCCCAAAGGTCGGGGGCCGAAACCCCGCTGACCTCTCTCTTCTCGCCCCTCAACCGACGCAGAACGAAGGGAAACGGCAACAAGTGGCGAGACGGCGACACAAGTGCGCTTGTACGCAGGTGCACCCCGTACGTCTCGCTAACGAGACCGGCTTGAACAAAAAACAAAGCCGCAGGTACACAGCAGATAGTACTTTTTTGGTTTGCTAGTTTGAGTCGAAAAGAGAGAACATCTGGTCACCCCCCTCCGCCCAGCACCACGAAATGCGTGACGTTGAGGAGGACCAGACATTCGGAAATGAGAAATGAAGCTTTCTACTTTGGCACCTTCAGCTTGCCCTCGCGAACCTTGTTCTGGATGTCCGTCGGGGTCTCGCCGTCGATGGTGCAGCCGATGGAGACGGCGGTGCCGAGCACCTCCATCACGACCGCCTTGAGGTCGCTGCCCATGGACTTGGCCTGAGACTCCTTCGCGATCTTGATGATCTCCGCAAACGGGATGTTGCCGTTGTGCTTCACGTTCTTGACCTTCTTGCGGTCACGCGGCGGCTCCTTGAGGGCGCGGATGAGGCGGGAAGCAACGGAGGGCGTCACGACGACGGTGGCCACGCGGTTCTTGACGCGCAGCTCGCAGGTGACCTTAAGACCCTTCCAGTCCTTGGTGGCCTTGGCGATGTCCTCACCGATCTTCTTGGCGTTCAGGCCAAGCGGACCTACCTTGGGCGCCAGGGACGCAGTCGCGGCCACCTCACCACCGACGGCGCGCACGATGACGGTAATCTCCTGAGAGGGGTCAAACTTCGGCGGCATGACTCGACAAAAGGAACCAACTTGAGCGTGACGACAAAGCGAAGGCGCAGAACGATGACATGCGCACGCACGCAGGTGCGGTAAGATAAAGCATGAGAGCACGGTAAGTGAAAGAAGAGAAACAAAAGGAGAGAAACAAAAGAAGAGGGGAAGTTGGGAAGAGCAGAGAGGACGAACGCGAGGGAGTCAACAGGAAAGCTGCATGGCTTCAACTTCGCAATACGCAGTATGAGGAGTGCTTTTTCCACCCTTTGGATGGAAGCAGCGCCAGCCGATGTCTAGCTAAACTACCACCACAAAACGAATCGGGTCTCATCGTCGTGACTATGGATGCAACTCGTTTTATTGGCTTTACACAGCATGGTAGGATACTGTCGAACCGATGAGCAGGTCACGCGGTATCTGCATTGACAGAGGAAATCTGATATCGCTGTCAAGCAACACAACAGCAAAACCAACGAGCACCACATCAACAAACACATCGGCTGCAGGAGGAGAAGGAAGACACCACGTTATTTGAATGATCCTGCTTCCTTTTCTTTCTTGTGTTGGCAGGAGCTGTTTCTCTCTCTCCAACCCGTCAGCACGCGAGACCAATCTGACCGCCGTCGTCCACGTAGATGTTGCACGCGGGCACGCTGCAATTCGCAGCGCCGTCCCGCGGCCGGAGGGTTTTGCTGGACGGGTGCGACGCCTCGTCCGCCTGCAGACGTTCCATGAGGGAGCCCACGTGCAGCTTCGTCTCCTGCGCGACGGCACGCCCGTTCTCCACCGCCAACGACCCTTTCGTCTTCTCCACCAACCACAGCACGGCGGTGTCGGTGATGGCGAGACGCACGGGCGGCGTGGCGGAGCACCCAATCTCCTTCGCCACTACGCGTACAATCTCGCCGGCGGTGTCAAGCGAAATGGGCAGAAACGGGAGGGTGCGCACGTGCGACGCGAATTGTGCGCTGTACAAGTCGGTGAACTCGCTGTTGATGAAACTCCGCATCTCTGACAAACCCTTACCACGTGTGCGTCCCTCACGACCAAAGTCGGTCGTCAGCACAACCAGCTGCGTTGAAATCTTCACGTCGAAGTGCTCCGGGAACTCGCTCGCGCGCCCCAACAGCGGCAGCAACACCCGTACCTTGCCCGGCTCCAAGGAGGAGAGTTCGTTAATGACGACGACGCCGTCACGCGGGTGGCGCCTGGCGTGCCGCGTCACGAGCTCTACTACCGCCTTGCGGAACTCCGCCGTGGACAGTCCGTCGTACCCGGTACCGGAGAGCACCAGCGTGGAGTCGCCCACGGTGCAGAGCTCATCCCCGCAGCGCTGTCCGTACGCTAGGGAGATCAGCTCTGCCAGTCGCGTCTTGCCCACGCCGTTGTCCCCTGCAAAGTGCAGCACCATCGGCTCATAAGGGTGGTGCAGCTTGTACTCCACCATCTCCACCACGGCGGGTGCCATCAGCTGCCCTTTGAGGGACTCCTTCACAAAGCCATGCAGCCGTGTCACAACATAGGCGCGGAACTCTTTCGAACCCGGCTTGAGGGGGCTTTTTCCAAGGCCGCACACCACCCGCTGAGAGAACGTGCGTGTTGCCTGGTCGCACAACGGCGGCGCCGGGCAATACAATGCGGTGCAGTCTAACCGAGAACCAACGGTTTCAACGTACACGATACATGCTAGACAAACACATACGATGCTCAAGGCTGTAATAAGGAAAGAACGCATTGAAGGCTGATTCGCAAGGCAATAGAAAGAAAAGTCATTTGCAGTACAGATGTAATGGTACACAACCAAAGACGGCACACGGCACGCGTCTTCCTGGGGAAAGGAAAAGATGCGTTAGAGGAGTGGATGAAGTGGCAAATGAAAAGACAGACAGTGGAAAGCGAAGGATGCTCACGAACATCTTGTCATCCAGGAAAGGGTCATCTTTAAGGACCCGCCGTGCCGGGTACCGCTGTTCCTGCTTTGTTGTGCGAGCTGGTAGACGTTAAGCACGTACCACGCTGAACGTGTCGCCATTTCTTTCCCCGAGAGATGACGAATCAAACGAGAGCACGCAGACGGCACACGACCAACTCCTCTTGTGTGTTCCGTGGCGATATTCCGAGTATCCAAAGCATTCTCTTTCTTCTTTTACCTCTTTGACAGCGACACACTACATTGGGAAATAATTAGATGAAAAATACTTTCACGAAAGCATTTTTTTTTTGTGGTGATGCTGTTAAAATAAAACAATAGAGTGGTTTAACTACTTTACCGAATATCCACTTGTTGGAAACAAAAACACAAGAAATTCTTCTCCCTCAATTTGGACGAAAAACTGCACGCGCCCTCCTGCGCATTCGTGAAGGAGTTAAAAGATTGAATAAAAACAGATGTAGAAGTGTTGAAAATAGTTGTTAGTCATTGGCTTTCTTTCTCTCTCTTTCTCAAAGAACGACAAAGGGAAAGGAAGATCGGACGCTGTCCTACGCTTGTTCTCTCATCTGTGTTTTTCCCTGTGCCACTTCCCTGCTGCGCGGTGCGTTGTCTCTCGCGTACGCACACCACAAACAAGATTAGAAGAAAAAAGGAAAGCAACGCGGCAGGGAAAAGGGGAAAAAGGCAAGCACGGATGGCTCAGCCCGTGACACATGGCGAGAAAAAGCAAAGGCTCTAAGGAGGAGGAGCAGCCAAAAAAAGGCAACGCCTGTCACCCTCCAGTTTCTCCGCCTTCTCTTCACGGAGTCACTTACGACGCGCACACAGCACCCGTTGCACAGATCTGGAAACACGGAAGAGGGAAGAGGGGAGAGAGAGGAGAGAGGCGCAGCGAGTCTCGTCCTTCCGGTCCCTTTGACCAGCCCTCACGCACGCCTAACCGTGCTTGAGGAAGACAGAGAGATACCAAGTGGCTCGGTGTAAGAACAACACCAGAAAAGAAAAAGAGGCGAAAGAGGCGTGCGTGAGCGCGTCCTGGAACGCAGAGAGAGAGACACACCTGGCAAGGCAAGTCTCTACACCTCGCACTTCTCGTTCACCGGTTCGTTGTTTTCGCTCATCACTTTCAACGGATCCGCGAGGCCCAGCATGATCAGCGACTCCTCCTCCAGCGTGTCCTCGCGCAGATCGTAGATCGGGACAGTAACAAAGTAGGCCCACTTCGCCCACATCCACATGCCCGTCATCCCACAGAAGTAGGAGTCCGCGGTCCAGGACTGGTGGTGCTGGATGCCGCGCGCCATCAGCCACAGGCCAAGAGCCACGCCGGCGAGGCAGGCAGCGAGGAAGAACGACTGATAGGCAGCGCGTGCGAAGCTGCATGGCGGGAAGATCTGGTAGAGGCGCCACTGAGGCGTGACGAAGAGCACCATTCGCAGCGCAATGAAGAACAGCACAAGGGTGAAGCCGACGCACGCCCAGTAGTTGTGATACTCGATCCCGAAATCAAGGGCACCCGCCAGATAGGCGAGAGCAAAGATGTAGTACAGGATCAGGCGGAGCCGAAAGTTCCGCTTCTTGTGTTCGGCCTCGGTCATCTTGGGCTTTTGGTGGTTGCAAGAAAGGAAGAGAAGAAGAAACGAGAGGAGAACAAAGGAAGAGAACAGAAGATAGCTTAAATTGGAAGATCAAAAAGTAGTTTGGCGCTCGCAGTGGATATTTATTGCTTACCGGTAGCGGAAAACTGTGATACTTTTCCTTACGGAGGAGATGCGAAGAGATGGAGGATGCTCTTGCTGTGCGGGGAGCCGGCACACACACCCATGCGGAAAGACGAAGAAAGAGAAGAAAAAGGAGCGAACAGAGAACAATCAATAGGAGAAGTGGAAACAGCTGAGAATTGTCGACAGCACGCAGCGACGCAGGTGCGCCGCGAAAACGCTGCTGCAGACAGCATCAACCACCGCATTTCAAAAGTGACACCCCGATGATTTTAACTTCCGGGAAACGCAGCCACGTAAATGAACAAGTCTCACTATAGGTATACACTCCACTGCACTCGCGCGCGGCGCACCGCGACTCGCAAGTGACCTCCGCGCGGGGCGGAATGCGTTCATGTGGGCTGAGCTTTGGGGAGACTACCGTTTCAAGAGAATCATCAAAAAAGAGATTGTACGTGAACGAAAAAAAAAAGACGGTGCCCCGGAGTTGACGAGGCAGAACGAAAAGATTAGGAATGAGAAGCGTGAGTGTGCATTACTGTGTTTGTATTTATGTTTGTGCGGGTGGCTCTTCCCTGTCAAGTTCTCAAACCGTCTGCTCCACTGCAAAATACAAAGAGAGAATAATATATGTATTTAACGCAACATTATTCGTCCGCACAACATTGTGCGAAGGAGGATCGGAGAGCGGCAACTGCGCTCAGTCGTATTTACGGACGATGTCCTCTTCCGCCACGCTGCGAGCAGCGACGAAGAGAAAGTCGCTGAGCCGGTTCACGTACACGGTGGCCTGCCGCAGGTGGTCGCTGTACCCCTCCCCGTACAGGTCGCGCACCTCAATCATGCGACGCTCCGCCCGCCGGCACACCGTGCGGCACACGTGTAGCTGCGCCGACGTCACGTTGCCACCGCCAGGCAGAATGAAAATACGCAGGGGCACGAGTCGGCTGTCCATCACGTCGATCACCTTCTCCATCTCCGCCGTCTTGGGCGGGAAGCGATACCCCTCCAGGATGTCCGTCATGCGCTTCGCCGTCTCGTCCGCCGCGTTCTTGCCCGTCGGTGTCGCCACCACGGTACCGGCGTTCAGCAGCTCCTGCTGGATGCCCTCCAGCATCACCATCATCTCCTCGTCGTGCTCGCGCTTCTCCGGAGAACTGCGCAGCATCGCCCTCGCCAGTCCCACGTGGCTGCTCAGCTCGTCAAGTGCGCCGAGTGCCTCGAACACTGGGTCCGTCTTCTTTCGGCGCTCGCCGGTGAACAGCGCCGACGTGCCCTTGTCGCCCGTTTTTGTGTAAACAACGCTGTGCTTCGGTCCCTGCCCTTCGCCCGCCTTCGCCGGCGTATCCTTCTCGCCAGCGGCCTCCTTCGCACCTCCGCCGGTGCCGGCGGCTGCGGACAGCGGTGCCGACGTGGCCATGGTGCGCTTCGAGTACTCCGCGACGTAGCGGTCCATGGACCGAGGAAAGCCGCGGAGGGCGCCCTCTGCGGTGACAGCGGAGGTGGCGGCCGCACGGCCCCCTGCGTTACGCAGTGCAAAGCGCCGCAGCGCGGTAAACGCCAGAGCAGAAAACGACATAATGGCAATGGCAGTTACGGTGACTTTCGAGTAGCTTTTTGAAGAATCGCTCCACATCGAACACTTTGTGCATGCAAATCTCTGATTTCAACCTTCGATATAGATCTGTTTGCTGAGAATTAGTTTCGGCGGAGTGACGAGGGAGAGAGAAGTGCGGAATGTGAAAGGGGGAGGTGGTGGCTCCACGGCTGCCAAAGATATCTGCAGCGTGTTCCCAACACTCATCGAATCAACAAACGAGCATTTCAGTCTCAATGAAATCCAAGGTTGTATAGGCCAGAAAAAACCTCTGGAGGCTGTCTTTCAAGCCGAGTCCATTTCGTCTCGATATTCACCTCAGGACGCAAAAGCAGTGCCGTATGCGGCCTTGCTACCGTGACTGGAACCAACAGCCACCCCACAAGATAAGTCTCTTGTTCCGGCACTCGCCATTAAATTTGATGCGTCATTCCGGCGCGGAAAAGGCCCCATTTCCTCAGCGTTTCTTTTTTTCCCCTAGGAGCTTCAACTCCTTCCAATGAGAAAGACGAATTCAAAAACCAAATGCTGCGGTAGAAGAAGAGAAGTTCCTTTAGCAGGAAAAAAAAACAGCAACGTAATTTGCCTATTGCGAGAGTACGACACAAAAAAGAAGTTTTCGCCGTGGCACTTTTAACAGAATTTCGAGAGGACAGCCTCGCAAAGAAGAGAACATTCTTTTGGTTCACATTATTTTCCTTCATTCTGATATTTTCCTCTTTTCCTTTTGTGAATGCGTTTCCTTTCTCGGAGGACGCGAGATTTGACGGCGCTGTCGCCTTCGCACTCAAAAATACAGATCCACATACAACCGATTCGGTGAGCAGAACATAAAAAGGCGCACAAGGAAAAAGCAATAAAGGAGAAAGCCTGAGAAACTCTTTTCTCTCTATATATATGCCAGGTGTTTTTTTCATTATTGAGTTCGTTCTCCGCCGATTAGCCACAACAGACCACTCGCAACGAAACCCTGTAGATTTCTGTCGCTCATTTGTCTTCTTTTTCAATTATTTTTTTTGCATATATAAAATGAAGGAAAACCAGAGGTACTACTTAATTTTCTCTCTTTCACTATATAAATTCTCTTTTCCTTCCGACCTGCAGAGAGGACTGGGCGGCGGAGTGACAACGCAAAGACTTGTCAAGACAGCGTCTTTATCTTGGATGGAGTCTTCGCTTTACAGCTTGAGCTGAATCCCAGTCGTATTGAATGGCCGAAGCCTGAGCCGGCTGTGAGCATTTCAAGTGCGAACTCCGCGTGCGATTCTCTCCGTTTTCTTTGCTTCTACTGCATGAGAACTGCGCAGACACGGTCGGTGGTATAAAAAACAATGTACAACTGAGGAAGATAAAGAGATAAAGAGCACCCCCATTCCGAAGGCGCAATAAGGTTATTTAGGATTCTTCGTTAGACATCAGCACACGAAGCTATCTTTTCCATTTCTCCTTTCAGCATCCGGATGCACACGTACGAGAGAGAGTTGAGGGAGCTCGCGGCGGGAGCAGATCTCATCCATCTCCCGAATTCCGCGTAGAGAAGCACAGCAAACGTCTCTGCAGATTTCACCACAACGCTGGACACAGATACAGAGAAGGTCTCCTGACCAAAAGAAAGCGTTTTCCTTCGGTGCGGCATTTCCTTTTCATTTAATAGTTCTGCTGATCATTTTTTTAGAGGAAGAAAAGAAGAAGTGGAAGAGAGAGAAAAAGGAAAAGTCGGTGTATTTTTCTTTTCTGCGGCATCCACGAGGCGCGATGCATCAGTGTTTCCGCGGTGCTCAGGCGGTGGCTGCCTTGAGCGTGGCAACGCGCAGGTGCTGGAGGTGGGCCTCAGCACCGCACGAGTGGCCGTACACGCCGCCGCTGAAGGCGGACGTCGCGTCTTTGCCGACGAACATGTCGAGAATGCGTTGGCCACCGGGGTGGTTCGAGTACCAGACGATGTCCTTGCTGCTGTGCGTGTAGCCCGATCCGGTGGGAATGCTGCGCATCACGTCGATCACGTCGTTGTTGACGACCATCAGCTTGCGGCCCTTTGCCACCTCGTTCTGGACCTTCTCCCACGTCCACTCCGCCGCCACCGGGATGTCGAGCTGGTCGAGACGCTGCTGCGCCTGCTCCATCGTCTTCTTCGCCCTCTTGAGGAGCACCTTGTTGAAGTTTGCGTCAATGATGTCGTTCGGCGTGCGGACGAGGTTCTTGACGAAGCCAAGGAACGACGCGGCGCGGATGACCAGCTTGGTCGGGTCGTAGTGGTACCACTTGATGCCGTTGCGGTAGTCCTGGGCGAACTCGTGGTGGTAGTTGTGGTAGCCCTCGCCAAAGGTGAAGAGCGCGCACACGACGGAGTCACGGGACGAATGGCGGTCCGAGTAGTTCTGCACGGCACCGAAGAGGCTGGTGTGCGCCAGACTGTTGATGAAGAAGGTGCAGTGGTGCACAAACACGATCTTGGCGAGTGCGGCGTAGAAGTACCCGCCGAACCAGTCGCCCCAGCCCAGACCACAGATCACGGTGGGCAGGATCACACCGGAGAGCATCGCGATTTTGAAAAAGTGCTTGTGCTGGATCTGAATCACGCTGTTGTACTTGAAGTCTGACACGTCCACCTTGCCGAGGAGAGAGTAGTCCTGCTTCATGATCATCCAACCCATGTGCGAGAACATGAACCCGCGCAAGGCGTTGTAGGGGTCCTTCTCCGTGTCCACGTAGCGGTGGTGGATGCGGTGGTTGCGGCCCCACCACTTGGCCGAGCCCTCGAAGGCACCGGCACCGGCGAAGGCGCACAGCCACTGGAAGCCGACGGAGGCCGTGAAGGAGCGGTGAGAGAAGAGACGGTGATAGCCCACAGTGATACCGAGGCAGCCGTTAAACCAGTAGAAGAAGAATCCCACGAGAAACGTCTTCCACTGCAGCGAGATGCCCATGCACGCCGCGATGATGACACCGAGAATCGGCAGCGTAAGAACAGCAACGGCGATGTAGTTGATCTCGTAGTTGCCCTCGTGGAACGTGGGCTGGCGGCGAGGCTGCTCCTCGGCGTTCTCCTTGTCCTTCGCGACGACAGATGCCATTGGCGAAATTCACAGATAGCGGTGTTGAGATAAAAGAAAATACACTGATTCTGCAAGATCAAGGTAAGGGAGAGGGGCAAACATTACACAACAACGCACAGAGAAATAGATGTGGCCGTATAAACGCGCACAGGAAGTATTGCGAAGAGAGAAGGAAGAAGGAGAGTGATGGAGAAAGGCGGAGTTTCAATACGAGCAAAAGCGTGCGGAGAAGGGCAGAATACATGTGAACCGAGTTGACAGGCGGTCCTGCGTAAGAGGCCGCGAGAAACGTGTGCCAGGTAACGGAGAAAAAAAGGCGCATTGTCGTTTCCCAAGCAAGGGGGGCGCAGATGACAAAATCTGCAGCCCCTCCGCCTCTTCTCCTCCCCTCCCCTTTCTTTCTTTGTTGCGACGGGCAAGAGTGCTTCGCCTGGACGCCCCTCCCATTCAATGTCTTGCCGCGCAAGAAATGCGCTTGCCAACATTAAACCGCTCATGGAGAATGGAGCAAGAAAGGCAAGCGGTTCCTTTGGACTCTCTTCCTTTCCGTTGTCTCCAAGAAGCACTTCAATTCACAAACTTCTCGGGTCACTCTGTTGTTACTTTTCCTGTTGTTCAGAGAGGGTTTGTTGTTGCCTCTTTATGAGCCGTTTTATTTTACCGCGTTTACACGTGCGCTTTAATCGGGGGAAAAAAAGGACAGCTTACTCGTAATACACCCAACGTCCTCAACAGCAACAAAAAAGCTACGCTTCTGTTTCTTCTTCTAATGCACCCAGACTCGGACGCGCTTGTCCTTCGAACCCGTTGCGACCTTTTGCCCATCAGGGCTCCAGTCAGTGGCGTAGATCTCGTCACTGTGCCCTGACATGTCTTCCACAAGCTCCCGCTTTGCCACGGACCACAGCTTCAGCGTCGTGTCCTTGCTTCCTGACACGAGCATTCGAGAGTCAAGACTCCAGCTAACGTGATACACCGCTGCTACGTGGCCGCGGAACGTAGTGATGAACTTGCCGTCCAGCGCATTCCATAGCTTCACGCTCTTGTCCGCGGAGCATGACGCGATCATGGTGCCATCTGGGCTAAACTGAATGTGGAAGACGATGCCTTGGTGGCCTGTCATCCGCGCCACCGGCGTCGTTGACTGCTGCGGATTCCACAAAAACATTGTGTTGTCGTCTGAGCAGCTCACCAACCGCTCCGACCCACCAAACCGCGACACCACAGCGTCGTACCGCCGCTTCGCATGCTCGCATAAGTCCTCGCGTGTGTCGAACTTACGGTCCTCATGGTCGAAGGCACCGGTGCGGATGACGAGGTCTGTGCTGAGAGCTAGGAAATTGACCCAGTGCGCGTGGCCCCGGAGCACACAACGCGGCGATCCCGTGGAGGCCTCCCACACAATAACAGTGCGGTCCTGCGAGGAGGAGTAGATGCGGTCCTCCCCGCCCCACTTGACACACGTGACACACGACTGATGTGCGGACAAAGAGCGCTCAAGACCGGTGCTGACGTTCCACACTTTTAGGGAGGCATCTTTGCTCGCAGAAACGAACCGATTGCACAGCGGGTTGCGGTGCAGCGGCTCCCACGAAACGTGCGAGACGTAGTGCGTGTGCGCCTTGTGCTTCTTGCATTTGAAATGGCCGTATTCGCCGTCATGCGTCCAAACAGCGAGGACGCCGTCCTTGCTTCCACTCACCAGATACTTGCCGTCGGGTGACCAAGACAGCACCTGCACCCAGCTTGTGTGCGCCTTCAGCTCCTCCACCGGAGTCAGGGTGTTCATGTCCCAAATGCGCACCTCCTTGTCGCCGCCGCCAGTCGCCAGCACCTGGCTATCCGGCGAGAACGACACCACCAGCACCGCCTCGCTGTGGCCATCGAGCGTGCCGGCGCACCGCGTCACCGGGCGGACGCGAAATACGGCCTGCGGTTTGTACGTAATCTCCACCACCGTCTCCTCGGGCGCAGAAAACACCAGCTTCTCCACGTCTTGTGGTCGCACACGCCGTCCCTCCTTGAGCATCCTCTCCACATATTCATCCTTCTGCTTCTGAAAAAGAATTTCTTGAACGTTGGTGTTTATCTGCTCCCCCCCAATGAAGAAGGCATACGGGATGGACTTCATGTCGTCATCCTCCATGAGCGACGAAAGCAGTTCGTCGAGCTGCTTCGGCGTCGCCGTTGCGGGCAGCAGAATCTGTGAGCCGTTGGGTGTGCCGTACTCATCCAACAACCGCACCATAATCTTCTGCGTGTTTTCTTCGTCTTCGTCGCTCACGAGCTCTTCCTCGCGCACGACATCACGCCTTTGTTTCTTGCGGAGTGGCATTGCTAAAGGAAGGGGAAAGGGAAGGCAAAGGCAACGTTCTGCCGTGAAGGATGTGAGTACTTGTGCTCCGTCCTCCAGTTCCACACAGATATGCACATGGATGGGTGGGTGGGTGACGAAAAAGATAAGGCCCCGACGTTTCCAGGAGCAGGAGAAAGAACCACACGAAGGTGGTAATAAAGGAACAACGTGAACGGCGTTAGTGAAGAATGATCAAGGAATCGAGTAAAGGCGACTCCGTCATCATCGCATGGAGCTGCGTGCATCGAGTACACGTCAGTCATTGTGACCCAACCAGCAATTTTGTAAAGGCTATGCTACCCACGAAACAGGAGAAAGCGAAAAGATCGATTTCCTCGGTAGCTCCATTTAACACGTGTGGCATTCTTTTCTTTGTTGATGCATTGGGGGTTCAATGCTAAAAGAGGAGACGTCGCGCAGAACGATACACGGACTCATTGTCGCGACTGCGAACCTTGAGAAACTCCTTGGTGGACCAACCTCGTCTCCACAACAGCACTTGGAAGCACAGCAGGGCCACAAGAAAAACATCGCACACTACAACCAGCAATGCACCCAGGTTGGTCAATGCATCACCTTCGGTGAGCACCCACACCAGATAGTTGCAAAGGAGATAGCTCAAGTTGACGACGCCGGCAATCAGGCACAGTATGAACGTTAGCCAGTTGCGCTTGCCCACGCAGTTGCAGATGAAGTAGCAGTGGTGGTCCATTTGAAAAATATCCGCCCCACACTTGCGACAGTGCGACACGGCAACGATGGTCTCTGCGGCCGCCTCCTTCGGCACGGGCTCGCTGTGCGAGAGCTGCGGTACACTGAAGACACACGACGCATACAAAATGGCAAAAAGAGTCACGGACGTGAGGTAGGCGATGTCGGAGGCGCTGCATTGGAGCAGGAGATCGGTACGCGCGGAGCCCTCCCACGGCAGAGAGTCGACCACATCCCACACAAAGAACGCTGGATTACACGCGTGGACGTTATCGCTGCCGCCGACGACGTGCAGGCGGGCGACAAACATTACAACGTAGAACTGCCACGCGAAGGAAAGAGCGACGACGGCGACGTGCGCGCGGCCGACGATGCGCGATCGCGTGTGGACGGACTGCGGTGCGTGCTGAGCCCGACTCAGCGCCTCGCTGACGAAGCACCTTCCAAAGACAAAGTTTGCAAGCATGAGAATGGCGGGGAGAAAGAGAGCGACGTAGACCGCGCCCCACGATGTCAGAACCTCCTCCACCGTCGCCATGACGATGAAAGGTGCCGTGCTCGTTAAGCGAGGCCGTGCGCTTTCATGTGCCACTCTGTGCTTGGTTGTATGCTTAGAGTTGAGCCGAACGCAGGCGGGGCTCAAAAACACAACAGTGTTCCCCCTAAAGAGAATAAAAGCCACAGTTGGGGGATCCCGTGAGACAGGAGAAACACAGAAAAAAGAAAAACAAGAGAGAGAGAGGAAGAGGAGAGACGAGAAATGATCCTGCGCATCCACGAGCCAGCCAACCTCGGATCACACGCAGCACAGCTATCGAGGAACTCGCTGAGTTTAGCGGCACTTCTCGTTTCGCCAGAGGTGTGTGTGTGTGTGTTCGCACGCCGACCGACACTGGTAAGCAGTGCGCCCTTTTACAAATATCTAGGATGCTGCAGAACTCTTTCACCCACTAACCACCTTGGGAAAAAAAAAAACGGACTCTGCTCGCACCACTTCTGCATTTCAAATTTGTCCAAGGCATACGGCCCGCGCAGCAGTTTGAAATGTTCTTTTTTTCTTCACCGATGACAGCGATGCCGCGGGATAAACCGATAAGGAACACCTCTCGCCGCACGTCTGACGCAACAAGCAGATATTAATAAGATGTGTAAGGACGTTTCGCATTTCGATTCTCTCAACGTTGAGAAGCAGCGTATTGGCGTTTAGCGCTCAACGCCTCGGCGTACGAGAAGGATGTTCGGTTCACATTTCATCATCCCGCTTGCGCTTTCGAACGCCACTGCCGGGCTCGCGCAGAGGCACGATGCTTTCGCTCTCCTCCTCCGTTTTGGGCGCCACAACAGACGTGGCAGCTGCGGCCGTCGCGTCTGCACTCGACACGAATTTCGGCGGAGAGGGGCGCAGCTGCCCCATCCGCTCCAGAGCTTCCTTGGAGAGCAGCGTTGTGCCGAGGTCCTTCTCATGCTCCCACGGTTGCGCCATTTCTTTGAAAAATCCACGCGCCACGGCGATGGCGGCATCGACGCTGAGGTTGGTGTTGTTCTTGAGACACTGGAAGATCCACCGCGGGATCTTTTTGCGCTTGTCGTTGAGGGCGAAGCGCTTGTCCACCATCAGCATCATCCCGTAGTCGGTTTTGTTGCGCAGCACCCTCCCAATGCACTGCGACGCCTGGCGCATCGCATCGAAGTTGCGGAACTCGCTTTCGGAGATGCCGAGGCACACCTCCATCCAGTGCATGCGCTGACGCAAGGGTTCATCGTTGGGTGGAAGAAACGGCACACCGAACATGACGACGGCGCGGCCGTAGTGACGATCAAAGTCGATGCCCTCAGCGATTTTGCCGCGAGCAATGGACATGAAAATGGCGCCGCGGCCAATGTCGCACGCCCTGCGGTAGTTCGCCAAAGCAACGGAGGTTTCCTCGACGCCTTGCGTTTCCACAAAAATAAGTTTGTGCTTTGCCAGCTTCTGTAGAAACCCAGAGCTGTGCCAGGCCAGCAGCACCTCGCCCATGTACTGGTACCCAGTGAAGAAGCACACCATTCCATCCGGCACCGTCTTCGCGAGCTCCAGGAGAAGACTTTCGTAGGCGGTTGTGACGAGGGCCTGCGCGGCGGGGTTGGTTCGCACCTTGAAACTGCTCGTAATCTCCTCGGCGGTGATGCTCACGCTTTCGGAGCTGCGAGTGACGATCACAGGGGCGATGCACTTCCGCGACAAGGTCATTTGAAACGACTTCGAGATCACCGGCGAAAACCCAAGAATCTTGGGGTAGATGTCCAGCGGCGACAACGTGCCGGAGGTGAGAATCACACTGCGGTACCTGCTGAACGTGTCGCGCAGCGCCAGCGAGGCGTCTACGCACACGGTGCGAATCACTGGGTCTGGGATCTGCGGCCTTGTAGGATCGAAGGCCTCGCACACCACCACGAAGCCCGGTTTTTCGTATCGGTCGTCGGTGTAGTACATAGAAAGCAGGGTGTACATCTGTGCAATCAGCGCGATGGGGCGGTACTTGCCGGCGTTCGTGACTTGAAGAGTGGTCAGCAGCATCTTGAGTCGCTCGGATATGTAGCGAAAGTGACTAATCTCAAGCGCACACTCCTCCTTCATCTTTGTCAGAAACGTCAGCGGATCCGCCACGTACGTGCGTGTGATGCGGGTCACAATGCGATGCGTAAAGTCGACGAGACGCTGCATAAAAGCAATAAAATGATTTGCTTGCCGCAAAGACGCGGGAATTGCACCCTCGGCAACACTCGCGGGAATGGCCGGTGCCGTCACAAAGGGCCGGTCCTCCGGGGACCGAGACAGCTCAGCCAGCGCAAGCCCGTTCACAAGTCGGTCGTACTCGTTCTGCAGTTGCTGACGGTTTGTAGCTTTCAAGTGATCCAGCTCCATGTTCAAGGCTTGTATGTTCTGCTTCGCATCGAGAGAGTCCTTTTTGGTGAAGATCAGCGACATGGCCTCAATGCAAACGTCGTCGACGTTGTGGCCTTCGTCCATCACGACGATCGTGTTGTCGTTCAAGAACTCTTTGGTGACCTCCGACACAACGGGGTCGACCATGTACAGGTACGAATGCACAATGATGTCGACGACAGGAAGGGCTTTGCGCACCAGGTAGTAGGGGCAAACATGGTGCTGCTCCCCGAAGTCTTTCAGGTCGTCGAGTGAGTACACGCCCGGCGGAAGCTCGAGCGGCGCTTGTGCAATGGCGTCATAGTAGGTGCACCGGCGCTCTTGTTGCCACGGAGCAGTGATGGAGCGACAGCCTGCGTCTACCTCATCAGGGTGCATGAGAGACGCAACGCTAGGCTCAATGCACAGGTTTTTCTTTGCTGTGAGGCACAGCCCACGCAACGGGCGCAGTTGCTCACCCTCAGCCTCCCAGTGCTTCAGCAACTTTCTCATTTCCCCCATCGTCTTCACCATCTCCTCTACGGTTCGGGTGCAGTACACTACCTTTCGCTTCTCATTCGCATGGTGGTGCAGATACGCAACGAGAATGGACAGCAGTGAAATCGTCTTGCCCGTTCCCGATGGCATCTCCAGCACCATATGCCCTCCCTTATCAAGACCGCGCTTGAGCTCCGTGATGTAATCCAGCTGCTCCGGGTAGATGTACTCGTACGGGAACACCACGAGCACATCCTCAACGTACAGTTTCATCGCAAATGCGAAACGACGTGAGAAATAGTTTTAGAAAAATGAAAGACAACGAAGGGAGAGAGATGTATTACTTCCTTTTGTCTACTTCAAAATGGAGTGAATGAATTAGTAGGTCCCTGAATACGCATTCCATATTGTTCTCGTCTTGGCCAGTGTGAACTGTGGGACAAACAAGGGAGAGAGAAGGACAGACGAGAAGCGATTGGCGCGTAGGAGGAACGAGTGATAGAGTCAGTACGTGTCGCACTTGTAGGGGGCCCGAGAAGTTGTTTCGTTCTGTCCCAGCACAAAGATATCTTATAGCTACACTACGGAATAGATTTGAGAGTGCGCACGCCCCTACGCAACGTGGGGAAATGCACGCCAGTCAACGCAAAAACAAACAGACTGATGGAAAAGGGAAACGCGGAAGCGGAAGCGATAGCAACGAGTTTGATGCAGAAAGAGAAGCAACGCACAGGCGGGACAGTTTCTCGCGAGACGTTGCTTTGTCAAGCTGCAACTCGAACGGCATACGCCACCAAAACCACTCGCGACACCTCGACCACCACTTTCTTTGGGGTTTCATCATATATATAATAATGCAATTTGTATCAGTTGTCATCTTGAAAAGCTCACAGGTATTGCTGCATGACAACGGATGTTGTGAATTCAATATCCTCCAATTTCAGTCAGGTGTACTGGACAAACCTTTCTGCCATTCATAGGATAGGTAAAATCAATTGTGTTCATTTCCCTGTTCAGCAGTGACGATGTTGTTCTGTCAACGTATAGCTACAGCAAGGCATAGAGGGAGGGGGGAGGGGAGAGGAGGGGACAAGCTCTTGCCGTTGGCATTTTTTGGTTGTTTTTGTTTTTCCTGTTTTCTCCTTTCCAACACGTCCGTGCTTTTTACGCAATGTAATGATATAAACTCTTGTTTCGAGAATCACGAGCGATGAACTCTCGCCGAATAAGTTCTTCGATGCGCTGCTTAATGAGCTTGACGTCAGGCGAGAAACGAACGCTGAGCTGCTGCTGGCACTCTAGGACCAAGTCGGAGTGCTCCAAGGTCCGGCGACCCTTCATGATTCGAACCAGGGCTACATCGATCGCGGGTTTTCTGTCTTCTTCTACCTGTTTCGTAATGTGCTCACTGGCGCCGATACTCACGCGCGCGAGGGAGGGAGGGAGGCGCACTTTGCGCGCTCTACACACGTACTCGTCGCTGACGGCCAGCTCGTCGTCCAGTTGGAGCTGCGCTTTGCGGGATTTCCGCACCAGGACTCGACCTCGTATTAATGGGGGAAGGTGGCGCTGCAGCGCTGCAAACGTCACATGGCAGTGATCCATAATGCGCTGTGGGGTGCGCGTCTGTGCTGAATTGAAGCACAGTAACACTAGAGCCTGGATCCCGCACACGAGAAAGAGTTGCGTAGCTTTCGCAAACGTGCCCTGCACTTCACCACTGCTGCAGTCGTGTGACCACGTCAGCACACGGCCTGACTTGCCAGCAAGGTAATCGTCGCGGAGAACATCCAAGGGGCGCTGGATGAACGACGGCACCACGATATCTGGCTCACTGGAGAGACGCGGTGGCCAGATTCCCTTTTTTGCCACAAGCAGGTCAACATCGAAGGACGGCACTCCACCTTTGCTCGCTAACACCTCCATCGCGCGATAGCTGCGTGACGCCTCCCAGTCATGCAGCATGCTCTCCAGGCATGCTGTGCTGGTAGGGCCACAGCGCTGACGAATACGCTGGATGAGTGCGCGCTCGTTGGCTTCGCTGAATTTCTTCATGGGGAACAAAATGCGGTCCGCCATGTGCTCCCGCGACGTCGCAATGAATCGGTCGCGCTCCGTCACGTAGGCGAGGGTGGCGACGATGCGATCCATGTCAGCATTTACAGGTACAGGTTCCTGTTGGAGGAGATGATTCACGTAGTGGGAAAGCCACTCGCAAAACGGAACGACGCGACTCTCGCCACCGCCGCTGTTGGTGACGGCAACGCCGTGGTTGTAGCACGCCTCTAAACCTTCGCGCACCGCCTTCGACAACGTGAAGTCCAGCTGGAAGCAGCGTGAGAGTAGCTGGGGATACACCTCCTGCAGGTGCATCATTCCCGTAACGTAGGCGACGACATCAACCGACGACTCCTCACCCTTGAACCGGTCGCACAACTCTAGACCTTCGGACTCGATCTGTTTTTTGAGGAGAGCCACTAATAGTGTCACACCAGACTCGCGTCGCGAGAAAAAAGTATAACAATTCTGCAGCTGAACCTCGTCGCGGTTTCGAAGCATTTCCAACATACCCGCCGGAGAGTCCACCAACTTCCGTCGCGTTATAGGCGAATCCACCAGGACGGCCTCCACACACGTCATAATGCGCTCCTCATCTGCCGTGGAGAAGTAACGGTGGCAGATGTCTCGCTCGTGCATGAGCGCCTCTTGCACCGTCTGGAGGAACGCCACGGCGTCCGTCGTGGCGTCCCACTCTTGAAGGAATTGTTCGTACTCTTTCTTCGTTTTCTCCAGGAAAGGCTCCAGGAACGCTGTCACGTAAATGGACTGCGTATCCTCGATGTTCATCGACGAAAACAGTCCAATGGCAGTAGCGATCTGTTTTGCGTTTGTACTCGCACCGCGGCCTGCGCGCTCCTTTAAAAGCAGCTTTTGCGTGATGGAGCTCACCACGTCGGCGTTCTTCTTGAATACCTGCTCAAGGAAAATACTTAGACCTACTTGCTGCAGTGAGGGCTTTGAGTGGTACACAATGTAGTATCGCGATAGGTACCCGAAAGTGCGCATATTCCACTTCATAAGAATCTTGTAGTGCTCCCACACGTCAAGAATGCGCTGGAACAGCTCCTGGTCTGACGCCGCATTGAGGTCTCTGTAGCGCCACAGGTAGGTCGTGAGCATCTCGTTGTATTCCATGTACAGCAGCTCGCCAGCATCGTAGCCAGGATACTCGGAAACCTTTGACGTGTTTCGAGTGGCAGCGGTGTACACAGTGTTGTAGTGGTTCATTCGCCTTTCGAAAGTGCTGTAGCCTTTAAAGTCGCTGTCTGTGAGGTCCGCGAGAGCCTCAAAGTCCGCCTTCATATTCCGAATGGCCTGCCGGTCCTCTTCGAGCATCGCGTATTGTATCCCGAGGTCACGTACAAAAGCAACTATATTTCTGGGGGAGAGGGGGTGGGTGGGCACCCGTTTAGGAGTTGTGCAACGTCGAAGACGGACGTCCACTTGACTGTGACGCGGCGCGACGTACTCACGTTTTTTTTTGTCGCCGCCGCCAGAGAACAACTGACGAAAGTAAGAGAAAACGCAAGAGGATACGAAACGGTTGTTTGAAAATGCTTCTTCCGTTCCATTGTGTTGCAAGAGAGATGCCCAAACTAATACAGTTTTTCTTATTATTGGATCTTGCGAGTGAAATGACCGAGTCGGAGAACTCTTCATCCTACCCCTCTTTATCCTTTTCCTTTCATCCTCAACTGCTAGAATTCAGCAGTTCTTCCATCTTTTAGTTTTTAGTTTCCTGTTACCATACTTCTTTCAAGTCTATTATTTTAATATCAAAAATCAAGTACTTAACTCACACACACACACACACACAAAAACAAGCAAATAATAATAATAATAATATATATATATATATATAGCAATACACTCTAAACACCAGGAAAAATGACTCTGGTTCCTACTACCGCGGACGATACCTCCTTCGCCTTTTCGCGCGATCGGTGGTGCGCGATTGGCCAGCGGCTGAGAGCCCCTTTCGAGGAAGCTCGGCGAAGTCAGCAGCAGCTGGAGCCTTTGGAGGTTTTCCTCCTCGTTGGAGGAGCCACCTATCGTGGGATGGTGTCGATGGACTCTGTGACGGCGACACTATCCCTCCAGCTGGACCAATGGCCAGCTTTGCCGTGGGACGACGCAGCGTACGTCGATTCCACTAACAGCTGTGTGTCCAGCGTACGCGTTGGGACAATTGTGACTCTTGTCGCGCGGGAACTCGGGACATAACTCGAGACCGCCGTCGCACAGACAACGGTCAAGGTGCAGCTTGACGTTCTGGCGCAAGCTGAGTTTTCGCTCCTGCGTCAGGCGCAGGAACTGGGTCACAGTGCCCAATATGTGGCGAACGCCGTGCAGGCGGCGAATAACACCACTTATGGCCTGGACGCGCGTCAGAGCTATCTTGACGCACAGGCGCTCGCCCTGCACGAGCGTAACCTTGCCTTGGCTCGTGGAGAAGGGTACTCCACCGCTCAAGGTATTGCCTTGTCCGCCGCGCAAGAGCGCGTGTACAGAAGCGGTGAGCAAATCAACGCTCACGATGCGGCGCTCAGCGAGTGGATGGAGCGCCTCCACGGTGAAGAGCTACACACTGCGGGGCGGCAGGGCTTTCTAGAGGCCCAAGCGGTGCATCATGACTACGTGCACCGCCGCCAGACGGAGGCCGAGGAGCGCCTCAATCAGAGCCGCACGGCTCTGAGCAACATAGAGGGCGACTCGCGGAGCAAGATCGACGCGGCCCTCTCTCTCTGCAGCAAGCTGCGCTGGAAGCGGAGAAGCGCGCAGCGGTGATCCTCTCGCGGGACGAGGAGCTCCACCGGCAGTTGCGCGAACAGCAGCAACTGCTGACCGACGCGCTCCGAAGAGAGCAAGATTGGCGCACCAACCAGCGCCAGATGGAAGAACGCTTCGCAGCCCTTGAAGCGAAAACTCGGCTTTGCAAGCGGAGATACAGGCATCTTGCGGGGACGCGAGCCGTACCCTCTCGACGTGCCAGCGGCGCCGACGCCTTTTCGTTGGCACGATGCGCGCTCTTGGGGCCCTGTGCTGCGCTTGCCACAAGGCCAGGCGATTTTAATGTTGGAGCTCCAGATGGTGATGGAGCTCAAACTGCCTTTTCCGATCGTACGGGCAATTGTGGAGGCCCTAAAGTCGTTCATGAACAACATCGCCACGAAGGTCGAGCCGGATGAGTTGGACTTTGCCGAGGGCGAGGCGCGTTTGTTTGCTCTGCGGGTCGCGGACCTGTACAGCAAGCACCCGGGGATAAGCCCTCAGGGCTTCAACTCCCAGTTCGGCAGGTTCTTGAATCCTGCTTATCCCTTGACGGTTTGTTTTGGTTCTTTGGCGCAGCGTCCGCGAGTTCGTTCGCGCACGCCCTCGCGCACTGCCGGCCCCGGCATTCGATGCTACTATTGTGGCATAGCAGGGCATGTGTCGACTGAGTGTCGCAAGAAACTCAGCGACCAAAAAAAACGGAAAAGGGACCCCACGCAAGTGAGGCAGCAACCAGATGAGGTCCCTACCCGTTGCGGTGTTTTCCGCAAGCGCCTTCTCGTGGCCCAACAGGAGGCGCGTAAGCTGCAACAGGGCAATGGGAGAGATCCTGCCTTGGAGGTCCGGCGAGCGGATCCCGATAGGCTCGAGGTCTCCCAACAGCGAGGAGCTGCTAAACCGTCCGTGGAGAGTCTCACGTCGGATCGCAGCTCCTGCGACATACCAGGCGCCACCTATCCCGTCCATGAGGCGCTCTCTTCCGACCGACGAGGCTCATCGGCCATGTCCGCCAGCCTCCGGCTTCCTGCCGCGAGTTGTCACCACTCGCACGCCGCTAATCAACTCCACGTTCGTGATTGCGGAAAGAAACCTTCGCGCCCCTCTATTCGGCGCCAACGACTCCCGGCTTGTGTACGAGGAGACGGCGACGGACCCGCCCGCGTGGAGCACGTTCCTGACGACGGCGAACACCTACGCGCAGCGCATATACGCCGAGTCGACCTGGCAGTCCCGCCTCAGCCTCGCGGGACAGTTTATCCGCTTTTGCCTGGAGTACGGGAAGCCCACCGACGAGCTGAGCGCCGTAGCGTTTTTGGGCGCTCGCGTCGACCTCAAACCGACGACGCTCGTCCAGTATGCCCGCCAGTTGCGCGGCATGCTGAGGGACCAGCGAACACCTCTCGACGTGGTGACTCTGGGGTTGACGCGCATGGCAGCGCAGACCGAGCGCAAGCAGGCGAGACCGTTGGAGAAGGAGGAATTCGAGCGCTTTGTCCAGGCGCTCCCGTCCTGGGAAGACCGCACCGTCTTCCGTCTTTGCTGGATTGCGGCCAGCAGGTGGTCCGACATTCGGACCTTGACGAAGGAGAGCTTCACCATCAGGGACGATGGGACAGTTCTCTTGGACTGGGCCGCCGGGCCCAAGTCCAGCCAGATGGACCCGAATCGAGCGTCGCGTTATGTGTTGATCAGCGGCGACGATGCAGCGGCAATCATAGCATTGCTGAAGGCCATTCCGGGCCCCCAACTGACGGCCCTGACGACGGCAGAGGTGACGAAGCGCCTCAAGCCTCTGAGTGCGTCTGCGCACTCGATCAAACGAGGGGCCGCACAGCACGCGGCGAGCCTGGTCGCGGAGCTGAATCTGGACCCCTTTCTGGTACCCCGGCTGATGAAGCATGCAAACATCTTCGACATGCCGTCGACTTCCGTCAGCTATCTGGGCCCGACAACGGCCTGGCTAACAGGGATATCGGATTTGGTCCGGAGGATGTAAGTCCGTGGCACCTGCCGGAGGTGCTACCTGAGTTTCGCTCGCGAGCGACGATCACGCGTCGCTCTCACAAGACAGCCGTGGCAGGGCCAGCCGAGGTGTCGTCTCTGCCCTTGCAACAAGTTGGGGTCTCGCCTTTGGACGTCGGTCCATTGAGGGACAGAATACGTCACCGTGTTCGCAAGCGTTTTGACGCCCTGACGGCCTTGCTCTCGGAGGAACCGCGCGACTCAAGACCGTCGCGATGGACGGTGCCGATGGACGACGCTACGCGCTTGCTGGAAGCGCGCATCATAGAGAAGGCACCCGATGCGGATACGCGTGGTTGGATCCACCCCTTCTCGGTGGTGGAGGAGAAGCCCTCAGGCAAGCGCCGACGGTGGATCGCCTGGCCGCGGGAGAAGAACGAGCAGGACCTTTACGAGACACAGCTGGACGACTTACGACACATCGGCGAGTATATGTCCAGTGTTCATGACGAGTGTGCCACCGTCATGGATCTCAAGGCCTCGTTCTTCCAGGTTTCGCTCCCCGTGCACACACGCAGGAACTTCCGGTGCCATTTTCAGGACGGCACTTTGGTTCAGTTGACCCGTGTGCTCATGGGCTACAAAGCCAGTCCTGAGCTTCTGCAGATCGTCACTTTGACGCTCGCCGCCCATCCGCGCTACGTCAAACGTAGTTTGGCCGTCCCCACGGGTGGCAGTGTCGATGTTTGGATCGACAACATTCGTTTGTTCGGTAAGAGAGACGAAGTTGAAGTTGCTCAACAGCAGGTTCTGGTGTGTGCTGCGAACTGTGGCGCTGCTTTTGGCGAGGTCGAGAAGTGCGCCACCACTTACGAATTTTTGGGTGTTAACTTCTCGCACGGCACCCGGACTGTTTAGTTGCGTGCAAAGCTTTGGAGGAAATAGTCGCTGGCACATACACCCACATGTGATTATGGAAACAGAGGCCCGTACCGTTCGTTTAGCTCTGGAAGCTTTGCTGGTTACGATTCACAGCCGCATCCACATCTATGTCGGTAATGCCTCTTTGTTGTTTTCGGCCCAAAAAGATCACACAAAGACGGGGGCGCTGGCATCGAAGCTACGCGCCATGTACGCTCTGGTTGGATGCTGTCCTTTGCGTACGTGCGTTCAGAGGACAGTGCAGCGGATGGCTTATTTCGTAGCCTCCGGTGTGATATGACCGACAGGGCGCAGGGGAGCTGGGAAGAGTAATGCAGGCTACCCACTCCTTAAAGGTTGTTGATCAAGTTATGTGTTACTGCATCGAGTTTCGGATGTATTTATGGATAATCAAAAGAGTTTTGTGTAAGTCGATAAAGGAGAATGTAAGTATATCGTGCGGGGCATGTTTCTTTTCCTCATCTTCGAGAAGATCATTGGGAAGGTGTCGGTTGTTCCACAAACAATCGCAGCGCAACGCGCTCGGCAGACAATTTTCATTTATGTTTTTGCCGTTATCATTCACGGTTATCAATTTTTTTTTGTTGACGCAGCTTCTTGTCTTTACGCTTCACAACGTAAACACCAATTGCGTTTTAGGGATGAAGTTAAGAAAATGAAACAGCAGTTATCTCAACACATTGAAGATGTACTGCTTTGCTGCGCACGGATATGTTGCAGTGAAACGTACGCAGCATTAATAGCGCTAAAGCCAGCATCGTTTTCGTCGGATGCGCATGTGAACGCGGCCACCTCAGCCTCAAGAGTGTCCAGCTGATTTTCCACGACATCCAAATGCTCAGATGAGTCTAAGCAACAATCCGGCAAATCAGCCCCGCCAGACAAAAACACCGCCCCGTCACGTACAAAATGTTTAAATTCGGCGATGTTGTTGTTGGTGGCTTTCACAGGCGCTTCAAGTGCCAACATGAGCGCGATAGATTCCTTGGCCGTACGGCTGCTAGCAGTACACAAAGAGGAGCTGTAGATGGCATCAGCAGGGGCAAATACACCACTGTGAAAGCTTGACAACAATTTATCCAACGCGACCTCCATATTTTTGAGTTGCGTCTCACATCTCTCCGCAGTTCTTTGTGAGTCAACGACATTTTTGCTTAAAAAGGACTTTCGTACCTCGAAGCACTTCTCCAATTCCGTCAGTGTTTCCGCTGCACGGATCAGTTTTTCCCATGATTCAGCGTCTTGTACGCGGTCACCCCTCCGCGCTCGCTGTGCGCTCTGAAGGGCAACGAAATAATTCGCCGAGTCACTATTCCCCAGGTCCTTAGCATCAGAAGGGACGCGGGGAGGTGAGACAGCTTGCAAGCATGCGTTTGGAGTCGGTGCGCCTTCGGATTTATAGCGCTCCATTTGTGCAAAGATGTTCGACTATCTTTTAAAAATCCAATTATGTTTTTTGTCCAGTACCTCCAGACACCATAATACGCACGTGCACATCCGTGCAATCAATTGAAAAACAAAGAAAAAAGAAACGGGTTGAAGATTTGAAGATACATGCAGCAGAAATTGAGATCGATTCGGATCGCATCCTATCGGCTACAGGACTCATTATTCATGAACATGCAACAAACTTTTCATAACAGATATGACCGGAAGCGCTGCTGCTGGGTGGTTGACGTCACACACATACACACACACAAAAAAGATGTGACTCTGAAAGTGAAAATGCTGTGAAGTCCAAAAACCTTCTTCCTTTCCTTTCGTGTTTGGTAGAAATTATAATTGTGCAGTGGCTAATGTACATTTGGTCAGCATAATACGACCACTCACGGTGCACTCTGTGCAACATCAGATAGTAACGTTGCGAACTCCTTCTCCATGTTCGCGGTTCGTTCACACAAAAATTCGTACTCCCTCTTCTTGCCTTTTATTCGATTGTCGAAATCAGCTGTGCATTCTTCAATTTTACTTTGCGTCTTCCGCTTTGCCTCCTGTAAATCGTTGAGAGATGCATCAAGTTTAGCAACTTCGCGCACGGCTTTTTGCTCGTCTACTTTGTAGACTCGCGTGCAGTCAGTAAGGACATCGGTCCTCTCGTCTTTCTTAAGCTGGAGTCCTTCCCCGCAGGTACTCACAGTCTTTTCTAGTTCGAGCTGCTGCTGCTTCTTCTCCGCTAGTTTTTCCATCCGTGCGAGATACACCCGCTTTAGGGCCTTTAGCTTTTCCTCCAGTATTACTGTGTCATCTGCCAGCTGCTGCTCTTCGTAGAAGCTATTGCTGGACCCTGACGCAGGGTTCTTTTTCGCTTTTGGAGGCATAAGGTGAGGACAGCACACCGGCGAAGCTCACCGGAAAAGGGCAAAGAGATTCAGATAGGTGAGGGCGAGAATGATAATAACAAGGAGGAAAGATCTGAAAGCTTTATTTGCTGTCCAGACACAAAAATGTAGGCAACAAAATACGGATGTGCGGATCTTTTGCCTCCATGTGAACGCAAAAACAAATAGGAGGCATGAAGAATGAATAAAAAACACAGAGAGGAGGGAAGAAGGCGAAAAGTAAGGAACATATATGTGGAATCAGTCAAGTGTAAGGGTCGGGAAGCGTATAGGTAAAGTTGATGCATCTGCCTCCCGAAGAATACGCAACCCTCAAAAAAAAAAAAATGTAAAGAAAGGCGTGCAATTCAACCGTCCTTCAGAAGCTTGGGGGAGCAAGGAAGGAAAGCATCTTCGAAGAAAAAAAAAGGATATAACCGCTCCTTGTCAGAAAGACGCAGTTTAAAAATGTGAAACACGCCTTAGCCGACAAAAGCAGAAACACATAAACTGGCTCATATTTAGCAAGGTCATTTTCATCCGATACACTCGCTTCAGGAGCAAAGGCACTGATTTACATTTAGTTGTTGTGGGTGTCCATTAATTTAAAACGTTTCCTGCTCATTTCCCCCAAGTTCACAGCTTCAACTGATCACCGCAATTAACATAAAACATATATAACCACCGCAAGCACGTATATACAACTTGCATTTACGATACCGTATCTCGTTTCTTGGGAGACATCCATTTGCCAGCTTCTGCAGGGTTTATATTTGCCGCTAAAGCAATAAAGGGGTGTTGCAGCATATCTTTAGCGTTTGGCCGTGCTTCAGCCGGCAGCAGACAGAGCTCAATAAAATCTTTGAATGCATCGCTAAATTTCCTCTCACGCTCGTCCCACTTAATCCTCGCGGTGTTGGAGGCTATTGCTTGACACAGCTCGAACATTTTCGGCTTCAGTGACGCAAAAGGATATCCGCGAAATGCGCATTCCGCGATTGTCAAGCCAGCGCTCCAGATATCACTATTAAACGAGTAAGGCTTCGACTGAATACGTTCGGGACTCATGTACGGCACTGAGCCTTGGGCGGAAAGGGTTTGGAGATCACCGCCGGAAAACGTTTTTGCGACACCAAAGTCGGAAATTTTGATTTCGCCCCGCGTGTTTGCCAGCACGTTGGCTGGCTTGATGTCTCGATGAATCATTTTAAGTTCATGAAGAAATTCCAACCCTTTGAAGAGTTCCCGTGCTATATACGCCAACATATCTTCACTAAATCCCTCGGGGTGTCGCTCGATAAGGTTGTGCATGGTACCACAATCCATGTACTCAAGAACAATGTACAGTCTGCCGTCGCGGAAAAAGGCTTCGTAAGAAGACACAATGTTCTGGTGCTTCACTGCCGCAACTTGGCGGAGCTCAGCCTCTAAGCCTGAGCGCAAATCGTCCGAATCGCCATCAAATGTGATGTACTTCATTGCATACTTTTCTCCGGTGATTTTGTGTTGGGCTACGCGGACTTTTCCTTGCGAACCTTTGCCTAATTCAGCACCAATACGTAGATCTTCGAATTTTATTTTGTTCATGACAGCGTCGGACTTCGGCTGTCCTGCGCTTTGCGACGCACCGGGACCTTGGGCAATGCCTGTTTGCTTGACACGCATCTCCACCCCGCCTTCGCCTTTCACAACTAAGGTCATTGTATCGGTAATTGACACCGCCTTTTCTTGAGGCGTTACCGAGACATGAAGTTGCTCCAGAGCTTGCGGACGCTTGGCAGGCATTGATATGAGAATGGGTAACAGTAATAGTAAAATCAAAAAAGAAGAACACAGCTCGGGTTTCTTCGCCCCAGAGCTAAAGAAAAACCAAACGCAAGAGCTAACTTTTAGTGTGAATGCGCACAATGCTTGATGCACACTGAAGGGTGTTAGGGAAAAAAGAGTTTGCAAATACAATCACGCATTCGACAAATCCCAACAACGATTTATACAGCGTACATACCACAAAAGAATAGAACGTTACCATTTTATCAATTTAACAGAAGGAACATTGAAGATGCGGGGAAAAAAGGGCGAAGGAACGCTAGTGGCAAAAAAAGGGAAGAAAAACAGCAACATCGAGAAGATTGGATTTGCACAGATAGGTACATTTCATACTTTACGCAAAGACGTCTTTAAACTTTCATGCGTTCGTACTAACTTGCACACAAAAAGGCACACCCTTCCTCACTCAAGATTGACTCACAACTAAATCAAAGCAAAACACAGTACGTGCAACTCCAATAGGAGCCAATAGTCAGAAAAAGAAATCCCGATTTTACAACGGAGAGAGCTGTACTTTTTTTTTTACAACTTTGAGTGACATGTGGAGCAGAGAAATTCTCATTAAAAAAACCTCAAAAAATTTTCGTAGCATAATTTACATGGCAAAGGGCAAAACAAACAGCAGCAACAACAACAAAAAGCACGTCAAACATTACAGTAACTCGCATAACAAAACCACAAACGGCAAACTAGACTGCATTCTTTAAAATATACATGAATTTAGATTTCCATTGATAAGCACTGAAAAGGACAGCAAAGACAGCTGAACAATGCGCTTGAAAACAACAGAGAATAAAATGACCGCACTTAAACATTGACGTATATATACATAACTGTACAATAATAATAATAATAATAATAATAATAATGATAATAATAAAGCACACACAAAAAAACACTATGTATCACAGACAAAAGACATATGTACCTCTTATTAAAGGATTTGCAAAGCAAAAAAGCAAGATAAGAGTAGACGATATATTCACTAAAACCCTTCGTATTACTTGCTTGCTCTTCATCTCCGAGCATTAATGTCATGCAGAAAGAAAAAAAGAACAACCCCGTTAACTGTTTCTTTCTGAAGCACTATCATGGTTCATTCGCTGTTCGCGCTCCAGTCTTGCTTTTGCACGCCGCTCGTCTTCGCGGCGCTTACGTTCCAGGCGTTTTGCGGTCTCTGCACGCTCTTTCTCATCTTCTGCCTTCTGCTTTTCTCTTGCGATCCGTTCAACCTCGCGCTGCATCTCTTCTTCGGCTTTCTGTTGTTCCATCAGCTCACGTAGCTGCTGTTTTCTGTGCTCTTCTTCTATACGTTCGCGCAAGCGCACCTGCTGCAGCTCGCTAACAGCGTGCCACGACGTTACGATGGAATAAAGCAGCTCGTTTTCTCCTTCATGGAGCTTTTCCCGAACAACACGCTCAAATTCCTCCAACACGGCTATTTGCATGCTAAACAGTTGTTGCTGATATTTGCAAAAGTCCACCAGAAGCGCGTGCTGCTGCGGAGTTTGTTTGCTTAGTCGATCACGATCGTATGCCAACAATTTATCAATCACGGCGCTGCTTTGTGCTTGCGACGACTGTGTGACCTTCTCATTGCGCAGCTTTTCATTTTCAACTTTCTGCTCGTGCAACTCAAAGAAATATTCCTGCATCTTCTTCCGGCTTTCGAAATCCGTCCAGGACTCGGTGGCGTTCTTAACGCGCAATGCGCTCTGTGGTAGACTGTTTTTTGTGGCGTAACTGGACCAGTCCTCATTTAGTTGAACTTGACGGTCCTCCACATTCTCTCGGACAGAAAGTTCCTCACGGTTTGAGCACGGTAGCCTCAAAACTTGTTCCTTCGGGCATTGAGCGTGCATCTTCCCGTGTCGACTTTGCTGGTGAAAAGGAAGTTTCGATTCTGGTAGCTGTTATTAACTTCTGTCGTGGTTGAATAACAAAGAGGCCGAGGAATAAGGAAGAATGAGGACCAAATGACATTTTTAGTACTTGATTCCCTTAACTAGTTCAGAAGTGACAATTGCAGATACCAACACAAACGTAACCATGACAACAAACATATATGGCGTGAAAGTACACTAACGGAAGAGATCAGATGTAACCTCTAATTCTATTATCGTTTGTATAGCAACTTCGCTCAAAAACAGGTGTTTGTGAAAAAGGAAAACACTGTATTTGTATCTTATCATGCAGGCAAAGTCTACAGCATAGATAACGTAGCTAACTAGCTGGTATTTCTTTCACTTTTTTTCCTTAGTGTTCGGACACACAAAATTGAGACAATCTGTGACCTTTAAAGTTCAATTTACCGGTAGGGAAAAAGGCATTAGAAAGAGATGAAAAATCAAACATCCGAAAACGACATTGAAGACGTACAAAACGAAGATTTCTCCAGCAACGTAAAACCACAACTACAGTTTTACTTACGTACGAAATTCTCCGGCTGCATCGAGAAAGCAACAGTAAGCTGTCTCAAGAAACGTAGACCTATGAATCGTTCTCTTCTGAAGACAGTTGCTAAGCGATTGAAACACAAAATTTGTCTGATACACAGTTACCTAAAGCGCTTTTCGACTCACGATCGTTCGAAAGAACAAGGTGGACACAATTGTATTAGAGAACGAAGAACAAAAAATAAACAGCCAACCAGCTATCCTCGCGTGACAGCGCCTCCATGTCGTAACTCACCCCTTTATCGCCGCACGACTGTGTTGAAATTAGTGCCACGAGTCAGTTCGAAAACGCTGACCTCTGCGGAAGTTACAGTGAACAAACGGGGTGCCGAAGTGGAACTCGCTGGAGCTGCCCACACGCTCACACCAGCGTTGTCGCTGCTGACCTTTGCGCAGCCTTGCGGTTTCCCTACCCCCTCCCCCTCCCCCGTTTCTCTGACGCCCGCTTTACGTCGCTTTCTCAGCTAAAGTGTCCCCTGCCTGCCCCAGTCTAAATGGCCGGCAGTTTTCGTGCGAAAGGGTGCGTGATGCTTTGCACTGAACCAACTTGCTTTCGCTCCCACCACCAGTCGGCAGCATAGGTTTGCCTCCTCAACGAGGTTTTTTTTTTCAGTATTTACACCAAACCTTTTTTCTCAATTTATACTCAGACTAGATCATTCCATTCGCAAGCTCCAAAAAAAAAAAACACTGCGGTGGTTAAACAACGCTAACCGAGCTTGCGGTGTTTCTGAGCTATAAAACTCGGTTTTAATCGCGCGCAATTCTTGCTTTCTCTCAACTTGTTAAGTAGGCGACGTTGCTGCGCATTGAATGCGTTTTGTTTTGTTGTTGTTGTCATGAAGTGCTTTGCTCATCTCTCTCGCTTTTTCCTTTCCCTCCCAACTGTGCACTAGCCCTGCGTTCTCCTCCTCTTGAGAAGACCCATCAGCAACATAAGTTGCCATGCTGAGACGCATTCGAGCCGAGTTTGCACCAAAAGACTTTGATGCGTGGGCCTACAACATATGGTGGCCACAAGACCAGCTTATTTCACCCCTCACGGGAAAAGTGGACTTTGTTGTAGAGGACATCAAATTCGCCTACAATGCGTGGTGCCTCTTGAGACTTGCAATGTTTTTCGGCGTGCGACATCCCAAAATCTTGAGCAACATGGTGAACACAACGCCCTCTATGGATATTATGCTCGCAGGCAACCGTCTCTTTTACATGCATTCACGCGTTGAAGCACAATTTGCACCGGACAAAGTTCGTATTGCGTTAACCCCCAACCACCCTCGTGCATTTCCGATCCAAAAATTCAGCTGGCTACAACACTGCACACAGTACCGCCCTGGAGCGACCGGCGTGGAACTCGTTCTCGGGATGGAGAACGGTCTTTCACCGGAAGTTGCCGACGCATGCGACCACTGCACGTACATTCCCCAATACGGTTCTATTGGATCACTTTCCATGCTGTCAGCCCTGGCCATCGCCGCACACACAATGTCCCGAAGCTTACGGAACGAGAATAAAGCGTTTCTGATTCCTGACGGAGCATCAACGACTCGATCGAGTGGTCATATGCCTCTGTCCAGAAATCCACATCCACTCAAGAGAGGACTGCCACACGAGGTTGACCTGCTTCCTTGTAGTAATGTGGAGATCAGAAACATTCTACGTGAGCGCAGACAGATGTACGATCTTCAAATGAGCGTCATGATGTACAACGAACTCGGCGACCGAAATATCGGTGCTGTAATACGGAACGCTAACGCGTTTAATTGCGAATACGTTGTCATTATTAACCGCAGACGTTTTAACCGCCGTGGGGCAGTCGGTACGCAAAAGGTTCTCGATGTCCGCTTTTTTGAAACAGTGTACGACGACGAAGCGCGTACTTTACTGGACGATTACGAGGTCTGGCTTCTGTATCCTTACTATCCGAATCTGCTCATTTATGATGGCAACACGGATATGTACTCTGCGCTCCAGTCTGCGACTTTTCTGCGCCACGGAGACCCTTTGCTCTGCGCCTGGCGTGCATCTCAGCACCGGCTCACCGCGCAGCACCCTCTTCTATGTGCACATCCTCGCCTTGCTGCTGATCCTGTGTACCTCGACGATGACGAATCTCTCACAAGAGCCGTTCAAAAAGTGAAAGAGAAGAAACTTCGAGGCATCATATTGGCTGTTCCAGAGGAAGGGTCCTCGCCTCATCCTTCTTTAAGAGACGTTTGCCATCGCGTGGTATACGTCTCCGATCCTACCGTACTGCCGCACGCAACGCAGCGTGGACTCAACCCTGCGCTATCCACTGCGATCAGTTTTGAGAGGATTCGCTCGGCAATCGATGCATTACACACTCTCTGAGCTTAGACCACATTACTTTTTCTCCCCTTGGTAGTAAGCTTAGACGGAACATGAAGTAAACTACTGTTCTTCACATTTTTGTTTGTGAATCAATTGACCAACATAAAGTTGCAGCATGCATTGAAAAAGGGAAACAGAATCGAGTGCGATGACAGTGTTGTACTTTTTCTGCCGAAGGGTACATGCCAATTCAAATCACGGCGAATCGCAGGAGCAATACATGTTGCTCTTTGTTGCCGGTTGGCTGTTTCGCAGCTGCCGTGCATGGTAGTAGTAGTAAGGTGACCAAAAATGGCGCTGAAAAGGGAGAAGGAGCCTATCGACCACCCACACGAGTTTATCAATTGCCATGAATGCGAACGTGACGACAGTTGCCAAACGAAAACCTTCTGCTCTCATGTAAACTTCTGCGTACTAACATCTTTTTATTTACATCACATAAGTAAAGGGTCTTTGCTTAACGTGTTGTGCTCCACAACTTCTAAAGTTGGTTTTTGTTATTTGCAACATTTTGCGCTAGACTTTTTTCTAGCGGCAAAAGGTCAATCAATGGAGGACTCTCAGCATTCATCATGGCCACTGTTGTCGTTGCTCGAAAGTATACACAGCGGTCTACTCCAACGCCAGGAGTACATTGACTCACGCGACAAAAACGCTTTTCTTCTAGCGATCCTGGAGAACGACTGCTTAGGATGTGTGCTTGGGTACGCAAGCCATTGTTTCTCTCTCGCACTAGCAGTGTCATCACTGAAAGCGTATCTTTACAGTCAACTAAAAGGAATGCCTTTCTCTACTCGTGGGATAAAACTGTCTGTTGGGATAGAGGAAGATCGCATTGTGCAGATCATGTCAATTCCATCAACAACTCTAAACGACGACGAACTGGATCTCGTGGGATGGCGTGTGCGGAGGAGTGGACTCCCGCTAAGGGTATCCGCTCGTTTTCTCCATGGGGCGATTGACTTCAGCCATTCCGCATTCAGGAACACTCAATCCTTTCACCTGAGCAGCAACATCACGCATCTGCAGATTCCTGAAAGTATTCTGTCATCTTTGCACTCCTTGAGCTGCAGCAGTCAAACCTCTTTCAATGATGGCGAGGTGGCATTTCAGTTTAGCAGCTTGCGCAAATTGGTTCTCTCTGATGTGACAGTGTGGCCCCAACAATGGTTTGCGCAGCTCCCTGCTCTCGAAGAGCTGCACTTAATTGGCACAGTAGAGAGGTTGGAGATGGGGGTTCTGTGCAGCGCGGCATCTCTTCGGTATCTGCGCGTGTACAGCCGTGCCCTCAGCAGCCTAAGCGGCTTTGACAAGTGCAGACGGCTGAGAAGTGTAAACTTTACTGGTTGCACTAGCCTTCATGATTTGTCGGCGCTATCGCTTGCACCACACCTCGAAGAAATCGATGCGCGTTTGTGTGGACTGCACGAAGTTTCGCAGCTGAAGCACTGCGCTGCACTTGTGGAGGTCCAGTTTTCCGGAAGCAGCGGGTTGTCAGACTTGTCGGGACTCGCAGGTTCCCTTTCCTTGCAGAAAATCACTGCATGCTACGCCGGCATACGCACGCTTGGCGATCTGCACAGGTGCCCGTGCCTCTCCATTGTTGATCTAACGCACTGCACCACAATCTCTGATCTCTCGCCTATGGCAGGAGCGCCCGCTCTGGTTGCGCTGTACGCGGACAGCTCTTCCGTCAGTTCCACAAAGGGGCTCAATCGGTGCCCTCTGTTAGAGACAGTCAATTTCAACGCCTGTATGCAGTTAACCGATCTTTCCCCTCTCGGCGGTGCGCCGTCACTAAAGTACATTAGTTTCCGTTACAGCAGTGTCCAGTCGCTCGCAAATCTCAATCGTTGTCCGCGGCTCGAGGAATTGTCCGCTGAAGGGTGCAACGACCTGACGTCCTTGTCGGCGCTTGCAGAAGCGCCAAGACTCAAGCGAATTAGTGCTCCGAACAGCGGCGTTCGGCACCTCGAGGGTCTGCGGTTTTGCCGCGCCATGGAAGAGCTATATCTCAGTTTCTGCGATTCACTCACGGATGTTAGCGGGGTAGCCGGTGCACCGTCTCTACGAATTTTCAACGCCAACTCCAGTGGTGTCGGGACTCTCGGTGAATTGCATTTGTGTCCTTTATTAGAGACACTAGATGTTCAGTGGTGCGTGCGACTTAGAAGTTTGCGTTCTCTTGTTGGGGCTCCTCGTCTTCAAAAGCTTCGGGCCAGAGGCTCAGGTGCTGAAAGCGTTGAAGTTTTGAAGGAGCTCCCGCGGTTGCAAGAAGCGGACTTTCGCGATTGCCGTTCACTGCCAAAGACAGAGCGCATTCATTTCGACTTGACAGCATTACGCAAATATTCCTCCCAACGAGGTAACAACTAAATATTGTTTTCAACTTCATAAGTGCCATACTATTAGTGTTAGTATTCGCAAAGAATCAATTTTTACTTCCTTGCCCTAAAGAAGGAAAAAATGGAATCAGCGGCAACGTGGAGAGGAAAAATGATGTGGCGCCACCTTAGAGTCGAACTAATTAACGCGAGCGGTAGTAGAAAGGCTAGGAAAGCAATGACCTATACCAAGCACCAATGCATTAAAGAGTACTGCAAGTACCGTGTTTTGTGAAAGCCTGCGACAGGAAAATTGGACAGGAGCTGATACTTTCTCGTTGCTATCTTTTCTACCTCTCCTCTCCTCCTCCTCTTCGTCGGTTCCTCTAAATAAACGCTGAGATACAAATCCAGCGACACGATCCGCCTAATTAAGGATCTCCTTAACTGTCTCTCTCTCTCTCTCTCTTCCCTTCTTTTGCCACCTTGCATTACACAGTAAAAGCGACTAAGTATTTTCTGCATCGTGTGCTCTGTCATTATTCCTGTTTTGTTTCTTTTTTGTTTCCCAAACAAATACGTTAAGCTCACCTCTACATTTACCAACAGACCATTCCTCGTTTAACACGATGTCCCACGAACTTATCAATAAAATCGCCTTCATCACGGGCGCCGGTGCCGGTCTCGGCCGCGGAATCTCCGAGCTGTGCTTTGAGCGCGGCTGCAGCGTGTTTCTGGCGGACGTGAACGGCGCCTCGGTTGAGAAGCTGGCCGTCACGCTGAACGCCGGCAAACACGCCGTGGAGGGTCAGCGCGCGGTGGCGGCGGCGCTGGACGTGTCAAACGAGCAGCAATGGACGACTGTGGTGGACGCGTGCAAGAGCGCTTTTGGCCGCATTGATATTCTGGTGTGCGACGCCGGCTGGCATGCCATGGCCCCTCTGGAACACGTCACGCTGGACATCTGGAACAGGATGATGAACATCAACGCATTCGGCGTCCTCCTCGGCATGCGCACTGTGGCTCCGCTGATGAAGGCGTAGGGCGGTGGCAGCATCGTGTGTATTGCGTCTCCGTGCGCCGTGCGCGGCTTGGCGGTGGAGTCCGTCTACTGCGCCAGCAAGGGTGCTGTGCGGATGCTGTGCAAGTCGCTCGCGCTGGAGCTGATCCCCTTCCACATTCGCGTGAACACGGTGAGCCCCGGCACCTGCGAGATGCCCATGATGCACCGCATGGCCGCCCAATATGGATGCATCAAGGACGAATTCTCCGGAGCGTTTCCGATTGGGCGTCTCGCCCAGCCGCGTGAAGTCGCGGAGGCCGTCGTGTTTCTCGCGTCGGACCGCGGCTCGCACATGGTGGATGCAGACCTGGCCGTGGACGGCGGCGCAACGATTGGCCCAACCAGCCGGTCACCGGCGCTGAAGTGGGCGTCTCTGTAGAACGATCCATTTAAAAGAGTATTATACCTATTTCTTTCTTTCCGTTTCTTCTTAGCGTTTCTTGTATGTCTTTACCTATTCTTTGGGCTCTTGGCTCCCTTCTCCGCTGTTGCGTCTTCGCTCACATGCACGCAGGGTCGGTGCCCGTCCGTCTGTGCGGCAGCCCATCATTTCTTCTTCTACTGAATATCCTCTAACCGCCTTGCTATGAATCTTTGTCCTCTCCCCCCTCTAAAGTGTTTATTCCTCTCTGTCTTCGAGCCGCCCCGGCAGTACCGGGGGCTCTCTTTTCTTGTTTCCATCGCGCACCGCCGTCTTCGTCATCGTCGTAGCGGGCACGTATGGAGAAAGGCATCTTCAAAAGACGCGATTCCGCTTTGCGATGACGGTGAAGCTGAGCAAAGTGTATTACTGTGTGTTTCTCCCGGCCACCAAAAAAGAAGAGAGGGGATAGTGAAGAGGGTCACCCTGTGTGATTGGGGTTTTACGGACTGCCGCGAAGAGAGCACAAAGCGGGTGTAGCTGTTGATAGAACCCGATGAGCGGGAGCTTTGCGTGCTTACCAACGTCCGCTTCTGAGCAAAGAGCGCACCGGCACGTTTCTGCTTCTCTGCAAGCTTCGTAGAAATGTAAGGGGTGTCTGCATCTGCCGGTGCTCGTAGTATCCTCTCCGTGCCTTGCTTCCATCTTTCACCAAATGAACAGCTTTAACGGAACTCCCCCACACCGCCTCTGTGCGAACTCGCATGAGACACCAAGGCACGTCGTTCCTTCCACCTCCACTACTCTCTCATTCTTCTTCACACCACCACAACACACATTCGCTCTCTAACGGGACGGCGTCAGTTCCGCGTGCACTACGAGAGTTTTCGATAGTCATGACGTGAACTAAAATATATTAATACCTTCGATATCTCATTTTTGTATTTTCATGCTTCGTTTTCATTTGCGTCATTTTTCTTTCTGTATGTATTAAAGCACGTGTTCTCGGCTTCTTTACACTTAAGAATCAAAAACCCGGGTGCTGTGGACAGAGCGTTGAACTCTGACACCACCCAACTGTAACTGCGTATCTCGTAACACCCAAGAGAGTATTAAAACGCAACCACTCTATTGTTGTATTTCTCATTTTCAAAACATTAAAAAAAAGGAACATATTTTTGTGCAGATTCGAAGACTTCTGGCCTTTCGTTGAGCAACGCATTCTTTGCGCCAGCCTCACCAAAACAGTCAGCCAGGGCTTTTGTTCTGAACCGTCTTGTCTCTTTGGCGCTGAAGCGTACGCATGGTACTATTGTTTCTAAAACCGTTTCTGCAGGCACCATGCGAAAGAACAACAGTGAACTTTTGGGTGTCAGCCATGCCGCGACGGCGGTGGCGGTGCCGTCCCCACAATCCGGACCGTTTCAGCGCTTTCATCGTGACCATTCAGCGCGGGTGACGATGCCCTCGCTCAAACGCACACCCGCTGCGCCCAACAGATTATCCGCAAGTAGACGCGGATACTATGCGAAGCTTGTCTCCATCGTAGTTGGTGCGTTACTTATGATGTGCATCCTTTATAACTCGAGTCGATGCACCGTCACGGTTTCAGACGGAAAGATGGGGCGACTGCACCTGAAGGACACGGACGATGCTGCGCCCATCGTGCCGGTGCAGCCCGTGCAGCTGGAGCCCGGGAAGGCCAACCCCATCGCGCTCATTATGCCGCTCGTCGGCTACCCGCTGAGCAGCAGCACAGGAGTGGAGTTGCTGCGTGAGCTGCTGCAGCCGTTGCTGTTGTCGGAGGCGGCGCTGTGCTACCGCGCGGCCGACGGGGCGGCGGTGCCGGTGGTGGCGCACGCCGTCGTCGTGAGTCGCGTGTCGGCCACTGCGGTGCGGAGTGCGGTGCGTGGCGTGTTGGCGAAGGGCTCGACGACGGCGGGGTCGGCGGTGGCGGCGGCCGAGGCGGGCGGGTCGCTGACGTCCGGTGCGCGGTGGCGGACGTGGGAAGTGAGTGCTGCGTCGGTGCGCTCGGCCCTGCGACTGGCGAACACGAGCGACGGCAGCGGTGCGCGGTGCCTGGCGGAGGCGGTGACGGTGGTGGCGCACGCGGTGGAAGACGGCGGTGCGATTTACGGCAAGGAGCCGGCGGAGACGCTGGAGGTGCTGGTGGACGCCGGTCTGCGGACGCGCGGCGGGGGTGCGGGGACGCACTTTGTGGTGCTGCCGTCCTTCTTGAGCGCGTCGAGGATGGCGTACACGGAGCCGGACGATGCGTCGGAGGCGCGGCGCGCGGGGACGGGGCTGTTGGATGCGCTGCTGCGGACGGCGACGACGCGCAACGGCGGTCGTGT